TGTGTGTGTGTGTGTGTGTGTGTGTGTGTGTGTGTGTGTGTGTGTGTGTGTGTGTGTGTGTGTCTCCCCATCCTTTCATTCTACCACATTCCCAGTCTCTCTCCCCCAATGCTCTCCCCCACCCCTTTCACTCTGCCTCCTCTCTCGCCTGTCCCTCTCCCTCTCAAGCGTGCAAGTATGGATTCGCTCATTCTGTCAGAAAGTCTTATCTTTCCATCTCTCCTCTCTCCCCGCACCTGTAAATCAACACCTCCATCTCTCAGCCTTTGTCTAAGCTCGCTCACTCCTTCCTTTCTATCACATCATAACATCTTAGTCTCTCTATCCCCCCCTCTCTCCCTCCCCTCTCTCCCTCCTCCACCCTCACAAATCTCCCCCCTCCCTTTTTTTGTTGCCATTCTCTCACCCTCCTCCTCCTTCCCCCTTGCCATTCTCCCTCTCTCTCTCTCTCTCTCTCTCTCTCTCTCTCTCTCTCTCTCTCTCTCTCTCTCACACACCCTCCCTCCCTTTCTCTCACCCTCCTCCTCCGTGGGTTTTTTTTTTCGAATCTGTTATTGTGTTGTGAGTGTTTCTGCACTTTTTCTCTCTCCGATTGTCTGTACACGGACCCTATTAATACAGTTAAGGAGACGTTCAAATTAAATATAATACATGTATATAAAAATATTTCGCCTGGAAGGTTGGGGGATTCTTACTTTGGCTCCTGTAAGAAAAGTTTAAGAAGGGAGAGGGGAGGTTTTAGTTTTTAGTTTTAGTAAGTGTTTTACGGCACTTGCAACACAACAAGGTACCTTGATCCTTGAACTTGAACCAATGAAATATTACACTTTTTGGGTCCCGATCTGTTGACCTGATCAGAATTCCACTATAATTTGTTTTATTTCTAATTAAGGCACTTTTGGCATTGACGAGTCTCAATTTTTTCCTTATGTGGAATGTGGCTTTAGTAAGCGTTTTTCAGGACTTGCAACACAATTACTGTAGGTTATATAAGCGCCGAAGATTAGAGGCGCTACAAGAAAGTGTTATATATGTATTAAGTTTGACGGCAATTGCAACAAGCCATCATTGCCTTCCTCACCCTGCACCAGGGTAGAGGAGACCACGGACAAACACTTTCCACCTTTCTCTATCTTGGCTGGGCTGGCCTCTTGATGTTATTGTATTCCATGTATGTCTTCCCGCTTTTCTGAACATCAATTTCTGTGATTTTCCCCAGGTTTCATGCACTTTCCCTTGATCTCTTGACTCTTACCCTGGGGATTCCAATCCAATCCAAAACTTTCTTTGTTATGCAGCTGACTTGCAACAAGTAACAAACGAAAAATGGAGGAAAAGATAAGAACCGAAGATGTTTATTTTTTTTTTAGTAGAGGGTTTTACGGCGCTCGCAACTGCATAAGGTCATATGAGCGCCAAGGGGTGGGTGTCAGCAGAGAAGTCCTTACAGTCAGGGAATCAGAACTTACTCTGCTCACCTCTCAAGCTTCAACAGCACAAGGTCTGCTTCGGCTGTCAAGGCACCCCGGAAATAGTGGGTCACAAGAGTGTGACAAACATACAAAAGAAGTACAGGAAAATGACAATACAGTGGAACTCGGATTTAACGAGGTCGTCAGGCCTGACCTAAAACTAAAATCTCGTTGAATCCGAGTGACACTACTCTGGCGTGTGTCGGGGTCGGACGGGCGGCCTGAACACGACATGTGGCTGTGTGTGCATGTCGGGGAGGGGGGGGGGGGATTAGCGGTCAGGGCGTTGAACGTCGCATACAAACGCATCATAGTCTTTTTACCCCCTCGGCAACGGACCATTATTGCAATGAGAAGCTAGTCTTGACGTAGATCTACGTACTGAATTGTGCGCTGGTCTATGGAATCTAAAGTTGCCGTATGCTAGGCTCTACGCAGCAACACAACTTTTTGGTAAACAATCGAGATGACACAGGCGTGTGCATTTGAACGAAATCGGTCTTTTTTTTTTTACACAGCTCATAATATGCCGGCATTTCAGGAACTACTTGTGACTTCTCTTGTGCATTACTTGCTCAGTGCCTGTTTAAGTGCTCGTTGAATCCGGGTTACTTTTATGGATTTTTAAAGAAGAAAAAACAAAAACGGGGAATCTATCTCATCTCGTTGAATCCGAGCTCGTTAAATCTGAGTTCCACTGTAGTAAGGATTAGGAAAGAAAAAAGCAGCAGTTCCCTGTTGTTCTTGTAAGAGTTTTACAGCACTTGCAACACAATAAGATCAAATAAGTGCCAAAGATTAGAGGTGTTACAAGAGAGTAACAAACATTAAAAAGAAGGAGGGCAGATAGGGACGATAGATTTTTTATAGGAAAGAAGGAGCAAACCACACCAGAGCACCCACCAACCACCCACAGTTCCCTGTTGTAAATGAGTCTGATCAGGCAGTTATAAGCGTGACATGATGAATCAGCCCATTTTTCCGAAGACGTTTGACAGGAAAGGAGCAAACCACTCCAGAGCATACGCGGAATGTGATTATATTATTAGTTTTAGTTTTAGTAAGTTTTACACAGCACCTGCAACACAATAAGGTCATATATAAGTGCTGAAGATTAAGAGGTGTTACAAGAGAGTAACAAACATGAAAAAAAGGAGGGGAGATAAGGACGATAGATGTTTGATAGGAAAGAAGGAGCAAACCACACCAGAGCACCTACCAACCACCCACGATTATTTTATTATTGTAGGTCAAATAAAATGATGAAGAAAAGCGTCTTTGTCTTCAGGGCAAAATAGACAGGCCTCCTTTTAGTTTAAGTAGAGGTTTTACGGCGCTCGCAACTGCATAAGGTCATATGATGAGCGCCAGAAGATGAGGTGTTATAAGAGAGTAACAAACATAAAAAAGAAGAAGGGGAGATAAGGAAGATAGAAGCAAACCACACAGGCCTCCTTTATAAGAGAGATGGGTAAAAAACTCAAACAAAAACAAACACTGCATTTACAACCACCCAGCAAAACGAAAAAAATAATAAAAAGAATGTGAAAGCACCAATTTATTCCAAATTGATTTTATTCAGTTGACAAAAATACAGTACACACATGTGTGTGTCATCACACATGGCTCAGGACAGCTGCTTTTTAACAAGGGAGGTGACAAAAGAGTGAAACGGAGATACACAGGTTGTAATGTAGAAGAAAACTTGTTTAAGGTTAGGGACAAAACGAAAACCAATTAAGAGATTGGAATAGAAGATCAGATAAACACAGCACTTGTTATTCAATCCTGATGCTAAAGGATTGTGATAGACAGACAATAAACTGAGCGTGTATGAGCTAATAATATATATGGGTATGCTGGTGAAAGGACAGGCAAATTGTATAACTTAAAACTTACTCTAAGTTACAGTTTGCGTTTTGAAGTTTGAGTTAAAAGAAACACATTGACACATCAACGGTCATTTACTGCTGGGAAAAAGTAAGAGTCAAGACAGACAGACAGAAACAACAGAGAAGAGATAAGGATGATAGATGTTTTTTTGGAAAAAAGGAGCAAACCGCACCAGAGTCAAAACCCTCTGTAAGGACAGACAGAATCTACAAGTTATAGTTTAAAAAAGTTTTAGTTGAGGTTTTACAGTGCTCGCAACTGCATAAGGTCATATGAGCGCCAGAAGATTAGAGGTGTTACAAGAGAGTAACAAACATAAAAAAGAAGGGGAGATAAGGACGATATATATGTTTGACAGAAAGAAGGAGCAAACCACACCAGAGTAAAAAACCTCTGTAAGGACAGACAGAATCTATAAGTTATAGTTTGAAAATCAGAAATAATGAAAGAACACAATGGTGGCGGTATAGAGTATACAAAAGGAAAACCGAAAGACAGTACCGGTATTTACAGTCCAACTGTACAAAGACAAACGATTGAACACAACAGTGGCCAGATCAATTATGCCATGAGGAAAGTATGCAAAAAAGGCAGGACAAGCAAGATCAGTGTAAGTTAAGTAAGTAAAAAGAAGCACATCGACACAAAAACGGTCATTTAGTTCAAGGAAAAAAAGTAGAGAATCTACCAGCGGCGCCCCTCAACCAACTGCTTCGAAACAGGACGAGAAGATAGCCCTGAGACAACAGGAAATGGGGGCCCGGGGCAAGCCTAAAAAGTAAATATATGGTAAATCAATTTGTCCACCACTACCCTGCAGTTTGATTAGCTTGCTCACAATGTCATTTGCAGTTGATAAACAGACCTTTGCTCCAGTTCAAGAATACAACTGGTTTAAGTACATCAAGAGGCTCACAGAGGTTGCAATAGCATTACAGAGCCCGTTTCCTGGGGAGCCCCAATCTTCATTAAATGAACAACTTTTTATAAAATCTTCAATGAAAAAAAGGACAATTTTAGACCTGTGCAGCGGAAATTCAAGAGAGCTGAAAAAATCTGCAGAATTACAAGAAATGAAGCTTTGGAAGTCAGCGTAATTAAATTATGCAAGTCTCTCAAGTCCATTTCAAAAGTTGTAAGATGACAACAGAAGACAATACAAGCACTAGAGAATTATAGACTGTATTCTTTGTTCGATGAAAATGGAAGGTAGAATAGTAGAACAATTTTCAAGGTTGAGCAATTACAGTGGTCTCCGCCTAAGAACCCGATTATCGGTAGACAGAAAAAGCTAGTTTCATTTTTAGGTGAATTTAAAAGAGTAGAAGTCAACTTCTACCCTTTGGCCTCACTTGTTTGTTCTCTGAAGAAATAATGACCTGCAGGCAATACTGATGCCAAAGGCAGTTTAAGTAAGAGTTATATATGGCACGTGAAATACAAATAGGTGCAGAAGATTAGAGGTGTTACTGGAGAGTAACATACAAAGAAAAAGAAGAGAGTTAAGGATGACAGATCTTTCAAAGGAAAGAAGGAGCAAACCACACCAGAACACCTGCCAACCATTCACTTATATGAGTGAATGTTTAAGAACCAGACGCCTGGAGTGAATTTCTATTCCCATAACTCTAATTCGCAAAGTATGGTAAAGCAGCTCACAAAGGCTTATTGCCATGAGCTTAAACCAGGTTTTTGTGCGAATTTTTATGAGACGGGTTCTTAGGCATGCAAATCATAGAACAAAAAAATTATTAAATTACCCCCAAAAAAGTGGGTTCTTAGGTAGAGACCGCTGTACATAAAAATTTGCTAACTTTATCATCATTTGAACATCATGTCAAATGAAACATATAACTAATGAAAGACATAAACATCATGCCTTGCTTTACATGTATGGTCCCACAGACAATAACGGCACTTTCTTGGTAACGAAAATTGGTGCAGCAATGTATGAATGTGAAGTGACATTGATGATAATGACTTAGAAGTTGAATTCGCTGTGAGTCTGGACATCTGTGTGGAACTGGAACTGGCTAGAGTTGGCATCACTCTGTGGGGCCAGCTCTGAATCTTCGTCCTAGAGAGAGAAACAGCAAAAAAAAAATATTTAAAAAAATGTAACGTATGAAATGTGTTTAGTTTTTGTAAGAGTTCACATAAACAGGTTATATAGGTGCTGAAGATTTGAGGTGTTTCTGGAGTTGAATAAAATGAGGAAAGATAAAGGATGATAATGTTTGATAGGACAGAAAGAACAAATCACACGAGAGCACCTCTTCTGCACACCACCCTCTCAAACATGTTCGTTGAATAAAAAACACACACACAAACACACCCTATACCAGAGACAAACTCGCCACCCCACAACAGTAGTAGGATTAAAGTACAGCACCTATAGGCACCACACATCATGTAGTTTTCAACTCCTGTGAGATTGTTACCACCCCGCAGACTCTGAATATTGTGCACCAGGTCAAACAGTTCAAATAGGATTGGGGGAGAGGCAACTTTAGTTTTAATCCGTACAACACCATGTTTCACATGCCTGTTTGTCAAGAAAGCATTTTAAAAGCATATATAGCTGGGAAAAAAAAAAGAAGTAAAATGAATGCCTAAAGCAGAAGTATCCTATAACAAATTCTTTTCCGTGCTAACAGAAACGGGAATTTTTTCTCTCTTCTATTCAAGTGAGAAACAAATGAGGAGTAATAAATTTTATCAAACACAGTAAACTTGGTTGCTTTGCAAAAGACCAAATCCTAGTTGCTATCACATTTGCTTGTTTTGCCAATCCTGAGACTGAGATGTCATCAAACAAATCGACAAACCATCACATAGTCACATGGTTTGATGATCTGTCAAAGACTACCACCAGACAGAGGTGAAGCAGCGGGAGCATACAACCAGAGATCAGATGGATACAGAGGAAGAGGCTGGCCCAGGAAAAGATGGATTGAGTAAGACAGAGAGAAATTAGACAAAAACAATAATACCAAGCAACAGGGCACAAGAGAGACATTTGCTTTTCCCCTCGACACTGTAAGTTAACAGAGACCAGAAATGGCCATAATGCAGGTACCATCACACTGGAAAGGAACTGGCCACCCTACCACAATATGCCAAAGGCCCAGGAAGTTGTCTCACTAACAAGGCAATCCCCAATGTCTGGATTGGATGCGGGAACAACTTTACTTTTACCACCACACCCCTTGTCAGATACCGTATGCCACTACTATATATGCTTACCTCAGTTGCAAAGAACTCATCAATGATGCCATGGGCTTTTGTGTAGATCTGCTTGTTTTCATGATTCTGAAGCATTTCAACTTTGTCCAGTCCTCCAATTTCTTCCAACATTAGAGTCATAGGCTCCAGTTGCTCACACTTATCTGCTGCCTGTGCAAACAGTAACAAAAACATGGCTGTTACAAAAGAACTGGTTCAAATTTACTTAGTTACCAAAAGTATTTCTAAAATAAATTCTGTATGAAAAAAAATATCAAGCAAACACTTAAATACATAAATCAACCCACTACATCTATACTCCGGGTCTTAATTAAAGAGCAGAATAACCGCTGTTTTGCAAATAGAATTTGAAAGCATTGATAAAAATGCACAAAACAAACTTGATTCTGATATTAAATTTTAGTTTAAACTTAGTGAGTTTCACAGCACATGCAATACAAATAGGTAATGTAAAGGCGTTGAAGATCAGAGGTGATACGAGAGTACAAAACAAAGAAAAGGAGGAGAGATCAGAATGACAGATGTTTGATAAGAAAGGAGGAGCAAACCACACTGGAGCACCTGCACCCAATGCAATGTCCTATCGTATTGAACTTGCAAGTAGAAGTAGGCCTACCTCAAGAATGTTTCGAATTCCATCAAGAATAACCAACAACAATTTGGAGTCCTTGCAGCACAACAGATCACACATGGGTTGAAGGGCACCATTCTCCACAACTTTAGAGATTTGCACAACACTTCCACCAGACGTCAAGTTCGTGACAGCCCACACAGCCTCTTTCTGGCTCTTAAAATCACCCTGAGATGAAAGAAATCACAAGTCAGAATGTCACTGAATATATATCACTGCCATAAACACACAAACCTACCATGGGATTTTTTTCTGTAAAAAACAAAAGAAAAACACAGTAATTTTTGTTTTAATTTTAACCTTACATGTTCCAACAACATATAGACAAAGTAAAGAAACAGAAATATCACCATGCATTTAAAAAATCGCCCTAAGCCATGTCACCTAACATAAGAGCTTCAAAAAATATTTTTAAAAGACAACCCACCCACAACTGTTTACACCAGGCAAAATGCTCACTTTTTTAGCTTGTAAACAAACCCCCCCCCCCCCCCCCCAAAAAAAAAGAGTTTTTTTGTTTTTTTAAAGCCCCCCCCCCCCCCCCCCCCCCCCCAGGTATAGGCTTTTGTGATTCTTAGTAAGGAAGAAAACAGTGGAAGATCCTTTATTGTTACGTTATTCAAAGTTCTCCCATGGATCAATGCATCTGCTCAAAAAGGTTTCTTTAGTTCTTCACTCTTAGAGAGAGAGATATATATATACACATACACACACACACACCACACTTGTGTTTGCGTACCGTGGCAAGGACATTGGCAAGCAGGGGCATGAGTTCGTGGTCGAGGACGGCCTGAATCTGCTCCACAGAGCCTGCTGTGATGTTGGACAACATCCAGCACGCCTCTTTCTTGATGCTGGCCTTTGGGTGCTGCAGGAGACTAGGCAACATCTTCAGCACGTTGGTGTCGATCACAGCCTGCGGGACAAGATACAATTTGTTTGAGTAAAGCACAACGACACAATAATGGTAATTTAGTGCAGGGAAGGAGCAAGACAGACAGAAACAACACAGGGAAAGACATAAGACATACATGAGGAGCATTCCAACCACCCGCCAAGACTTAGTTTTAGTAACTGTCTTGCCAAGCATTTTTATGCACCTGCATAATATTCACTTTACTCATTGACCCCAGTTTGATTGAATTTACAACTCAACTTTCACAAGTGCTGTGGCTGCCAAGATCAGGCAAAGTTTGAGCTGTTCTTTGTTATTGTTGAAATAGACTTGCTGTTAGGTCGTGCTGTGATGTTGTTGTTTTTTTGTTGTTGTTCTCCATCAGTTTCCCCCCTTTGCTTAGTAAGTTTTTTAGGCCACTTGCAAAAACAAATAGACAACAAAAGTACCAAAGATTAGAGACACCACATTTTGAATAAAGAAAGATGTAAGGGTGCCTCATTATTTAAAAGGTATGACAGGGATATTTTTTTTTAATGGGTAGTGAGATTTTTTAATTCACCCTGGAAGCTGGCCTAGCAAAGAATAGCACTGACTTAACTCAAGGGAAAGAGGGGTTTGGTGAAAGAGCACAAGCATCCGTGACAATGTAGCATGAAATGTTAAAAAATGAAAGTGTCACCTGTGTTTGCTCATCTGTCCCAGTGACGATGTTGCCCACAGTCCTCAGTGCTGGAGTCACAACAGCAGCGTCAACACAACCCAGCAGCTCAACGAGTCTCTGGAGAACACCTGCAGGAGGAAAATAACAAAAGATATAGCCTATTATAGTATCTACCAAAGAGGGAAACTGATGGAGAACAACAACAAAAAAACAACATCACAGCACGACCTAACAGCAAGTTTATTTCAACAATAACAAAGGACAGCTCAAACTTTGCCTGATCTTGGCAGTCACAGCACTTGTGAAAGTTGAGTTGTAAATTCAATCAAACTGGGGTCAATGAGTAAAGTGAATATTATGCAGGTGCATAAAAATGCTTGGCAAGACAGTTTTTTTACCTTTTGAATTTCTAAAACTGGCCTTTCCATGGTAAAAAAAAAACCCCCGTCATTTTTAGTTATGAATATGCAATTTAACCAACCAGCACAATTTGCCGTAAAAAAAATAAAAGGCATAACCTGCCGCACTAACAGAGAAAACCAGAACTATGTGACTTATATGGCTCCTTGATGACACCAAAATTTGTATATATATAACACTGAGGCAAAAAAATAAATGAACAGCAATTGGAACTCACCTGGACGGTCAACAATTTCCTGGATCTGGATGTTGGCACCATCTGTGATGTAGGAAAAGGCCCAGCAACCATCTGCAAGAACTTCTTTGTCTGCATGCTGAATGAGGGCGCTCAGGGCTGGCAACACAGACTTGATGGCTTTCATTTTGGGTGGTGGGTTTTTGTTGCGGCACAGGTTGGAGAAAGTCCACGTCAAGTTACGCAGAAAAGCAGGCTGAGGATTTTTTGGATTAAAAAAATTTGTTTATCTTGCTACTCTTAGTGCAAATAATAATAATAATAAATAGTATTTGTATAGCACATAACCCCGCTCTACGCGCTTTTCACTATATTATTACCCCAGCAGATCATAGAACACTTAGAAACATTCTCAGTTTTTGGGAAGCATACAGGGCAAACAGCTGTTTAACCGCTGCTCAAACACAAACAAACTGACAAGATCTTTCACTGTCTTTAGCTGGGTACCCATTTCCACTCGGGTGAAATGAGGAAAACTCGTGTAAATTGCCCTTCCCAAGGACATAACTGTCAGTAAGCTTTATTGAAACTAGTGCTGTACAGCGGAACCTGCTCCAATGATATATCCACGTGTCAAAACGACGACTCCCCACCCTGCAATCTTTCTTTACTATCATCACAAAGTCCGAGACTCCTACTTGTCTCCTCTACAAAGGGCATTATCATATATACCCATGGGTGAAACAAAATTATAAAATGAAAGTTTTAAAAAGGGTAAATATTCCACAAAAAAAGAGAAAAAAACCCTCACATCTAAACTGTATCAAAATAATGACTTGCATTTTCAATGAAACTACTGAATAGAGCAGTTCATGTCAGTCAAGTTATGCTAAGAAGCTTCAGCTTGTTCTGAAGGTACAGCAACAGAGCTGCGCACCTACCAGCATGAGCTTTAGCAAGCAACAAAATTTTAAAAAATAAAATAATCTGGCTTAACAATTTTTCATCACAAGGCTCACATAGTAAAATTCCTTGCCATCAAAGACATTTTGGGGGAAATCCAAAGAAACAGGGTGGTAAACATCCCCGATCTACCTTTTGGGACGGGAACGAAATTTTAGACCTGCATGTGAGCCTCGACCAGATTGTCTGAAAATTTTGCGCACCCCCCCTCCCCCGAGCTTTTGTGGGTGTTATAAAAGTAAGGACTTCCGAGTAACAAGCGACCATCCCATCAAACACAAAGAAGAGACCTAACCCTAACTCCACCCCAAAAAAAGAACATGCAAAGGCCCTCCAGTAATAAGTTTGAAATTTAAAAAAAAAACCCTCACACACCCCAAAACAAACAAGGAGCATTAATAACAATGTATGCCATATTAATAATATGGCACACATTGTTATTATTAATAGGCTGGACCTCTCGTCGATATGTAACGACAAAGCGTTAAAAAAGTAGTGACAAAGAAGCTAAGGATAGCTCTTGCTGACAACATGACAAACTTTGATGTAAAAGTGTGATGAGGGGAGTGTGTGTGTGGTTATTGGCTGTCGGTTAGACTCTTGCAAAACAAGAAAAACTGGAATTGAGAATTATGAACGTATTTGTGTGAAAAATCATAATAACTCCCCCAAATTCTTAATGATAGGCAGCCCTGCAACAACCCCCCCCCCCCCTCAAAAAACTTACAGGTGCACTCATGTCCAATAGGCTGATGAGTGGCTCCACAATTCCGCTAGAGGTTACCAAGTCCCTGAGCTCAGCACCATCACCTGAAAAAGAAAATCATTTTGAAAGAGTCAGGAATAAGAGGAAGAACAAAAAGATGGATAACCAGAACGAAAAATACTTTAAATAACTGCAGTTCTTTCTTTTTTAAGAGGATAGGAAACATCAGCGAACCCACTAAACATAGCAGTTCCTCAAGACTTTTCAGCACCATAGAAAATTAGTCTCCAAAAATAAATTTACCCCACCCCCTGTTCTTGTTTTCAATAAATAAGAATTTTATTGTTTGAGTAGGTGTTTTACGACACTATCGACTCAGTAAGAAATTTATTCCAAACACAATATTGTATGAATTTTGCCAATTGTTAATGTGGGACACCATGGAATAAGTTTAATAACACCAAGAGGCTTGCCTGGGAAAGGGAAGGGTGGAAAGTGTTTGTGGCCTGTTCCCTGATGCAGGGTGAGAAAGGCAGTGATGATGGACTGCCAATTCTGCCTCTGCACAAAAATATGAACTTTGTACCCAATGGCAACAATAAAAGAAAAGTAAATTGTCACCCACTTTTGCTTAATACAGTTCTTACATATATTTCTGATTTATCAAGACTAATCATTGTTATTAGTATTGAAACTGAAATGCAAAAAGAAAATCCAACGATTCACCTCATAAGCCTAATTTTACAAAAATGAAGACACATGATGAGTGCTCTCTATAGGCAGAAAACTGGTACTGTAGCATTCTATAGACGGTATCAAACCTGCAATGTTTCCTAATGCCCATATGCACTGCTCCACCAAGTTCATGCTTTGGGAAGTGAGGAGCCGAATGAAGTGTGGGACGGCACCAGCCCGCACCACTGCCTGGGTTTGTATGGAGGTCCCTGAGGCAATGTTGGTCAATGCCCATGCCGCTTCAAACTGAAGGTCAGGCCTGTGGGTTTGAACAAAAGGAATGAGGCAAGCTGTAACCCACAAAGCCAATACATGTTAACACCAGGGGTGTAACTGGAATTAAAAAAAAAAAAAAACCCCAGAAAATTGATGAATCTGCAGTGGGTGGTTGGCGGGTGCTCTGGTGTGGTTTGCTTCTTCTTTCCTATGAAACATCTATCGTCCTTATCTCCCCGTCTTCTTTTTTTATGTATGTTACTCTCTTGTGACACCTCAAATCTTCTGGTGCTCATATGACCTTATGCAGTTGCGAGCGCTGTAAAACATCTACTAAAACATGAAACTGCATTTTTGAAGAAAAAAAACACCCCAAAAACCAAACCCAACTAATATGAGAGAATGCTAAGAATAAAAGGTGCGATAGATCTTTGATGGGAATGGAGAGAAGCAAACCATACAATAACTGTGACTGTCATTTAATGTAGAGGTTTTCGTAAGTGTGTTTTACGGCACTTGCAACACAATAAGGTCATATAAGTACCGAAGATAGAGGTGTTACAAGAGAGTAACAAACATAAAAAAGGAGGAGAGATCAGGACAATAGATGTTTGATAGGAAAGAAGAAGCAAACCCCACCAGAGCACCCGCCTACCACCTACAATGCAGAGGTTTGAAGTTTCTGGTGAGCTAGTAAGAGTAAAAAAGGCACACATCGTCTCAACAAGCATTTTAACTTTCGGAAAGAGCAAGATGAGGGAGAGAAGCATCTTATGAATCAATGTGATAATGGACACATTTTATGTGGAAAAGGTCAAGACAAGAGTGATCGCCAATCATACATTTGCAGTGTACCATGTCATTAGAAGACAAATAAAAACTGGCATAAATAACACACATGGCCACCCCCACCTTACAGAAAATGACAAAACATCAAGAAACTGGGCCCTTTTAATCTTACTCTAACTTAAGAATCAAATGGTATGATGGACAGTGTTAGGAAGAAAATGGGTATCTTACTTGTCATTTGAGTACAGAAAATTGACCAGTGCCTCAACAAGGCCAGCCTCTATGACGCGATCAATAGGAGGATTCCGTTCCTTGGACAAGAGCTTCCTCACAGACTGAGTGGCATTGAAGACGACATAGTGATCTGTGCTTTTTATTGAGGTCACTATCTCGTTGAGAGGCATTATGGCAGGCTGTAGAGAAAATGATGTTAATATCCAAATTAAATTCAACAATACCATAAATGCCAAGTCTACAGAAAAATTGGTCATGCACACTTACTGCAAATTTTCTACTAAAACAAAATTGTTGATAAAGTCCCTTTCGATTCACGCAAAAAGCATTCTGTAAATTCTGGAGTTAATACATACATGCTGAATAAGTATATGACTATATGGCCACATTCTCCTTCACTTGAAGGTGAACATCTCACTAGAGAATCAAATGAAACCCATTTTATCTATCGTTTCGACAAGAAAGCTTGATGCAAAGTCAACGGAATAGCCAATGACAATATTTTCAACGTCTCAGCGAATTTTCACTCAACTATATAAATGAGAAGAAAAAAACCCCCAACCTTTGAATGCAGAGCATGTTAGTGACAAGTGACAATTACAGGGTGATTACTGATTGTGTATGAAAATGCACACATGAAAGAATTAAGGCCAAAAAAGATAATCCACCTTGTTATGCTCCTGAAGTGGACTTGTTGGTTCATCGTCCAGTATTTCAACATTCCGTCTTTTAAGCAGAGTCTCTTCTTTTTTCTGCTTTCTAAGTTCCACTGATGTTTCTGCTCGCCTTCTTCGAAGATCCTGCAATGTATAAAAATGTGATAAAGTTAAAGAAGAAGTATAGTAAAAATACAAGGGGTGGGGGGTGGGAAGAGACAAGTCTCGATGCTACACACATAATTAATGTCTAGGATCTTACTACATGCGTTTAATTTTAACTGACATGAGCGTTCAAATCCACTTAAAAGACAGTAAAACCGCACCCCGATGATAACTTCAGCAGCCTCCATCATATAAAATTGAAGATATCGACATTTTCAGCTGGTTTAGAAATTTTCATCAGATTTGGGGGTTTTGGTTCTTAACACTTTTTATGTCCATTTAAAAACATTTCTGTGTGAACTTGATAGAAACACTAAAACAATGATTAAAGTTACAAAAAATGTAAATTTTCAGTGTCCAAGGAAGGACTCTCAAGCTATTTCTCTGAAACCAGGCGACAACATCTCCTTCAATCGCAAATCTCAACTTTTATTTAAGATAAAGGGGTATTTTCTTCAGTGAAAGATAGACAAATAAACAAGTTATAAGATTACACAATTTTTTTAAAAACTTCACATGCCCCAAAATTGATGAGTGCCCGATTCCAGCATGTCACGGCAGATTCATGATAGAGAAAAGCAAGCCACAAACCTCAATGTCTCGGCCTTTGTTTTTGTATGCACCGATACGAGAAGCCTGAGCAGAGGTACCATTCTCAGTCGACATTGTGACAATTTTGTTAGCGTTTTACAGGAAGCTGTGGAAAAACAAAAATCAAGGCAATTATAAATTAAACAATTTAATAGTACAGCTTTCAATTGATACACAGTGTTGGCACCGTGGCAGGGTCACCACCTAAGATGCCATTGTATTGTTTTAAGAAAACAGAATTTTCACTAGGCCTACACAAAAGTAACCCCAAAGATCTTGATCCGGAGGATTTACATTCAGCTAATATCCTGCATTTCAGATCACAATCTGGAACAAAAACCCGGGCGGGCGCAGCTGTGATCAACCAAGTGGTGAATTTACGATCATTGTATTGCCCATTGCGTTACAGATTACACACTACCGTGAATGTGATCACAACAGCTCTGCTATAAATCTCGATGGGTAATATTTTACTTTCACTCCCGCACACAGATGCACTGTTTCAGGGGTCAAAACTGCAGTCCTGTTTGCTGCAGATCACACATAAAGCCACTAAAACTGTCGCAAATCAATTATTTTCAAGACAACTTCAAATCTAACTGTAAAATATCAAATTATAGGTAAAATCAGGGGGGCATGCCCCCCCTGTAACCCCCTGATTGGTCCAAAGCACGTCGATCTCGGTTAAAAACAGTCAAATATTTCAAAAACTATTAATTTGCGACGGAAATGAAGTTGATATTCGTGTTCAGCGTATCAATATTTAGCAGAAAATACACAACTGGTAGCTGAGTGTGAGACGGGAGGGAAAGTAAAAAAATACCTCTCGATGAAATTGTGCAATGTTTGCACCAGACAGGATAATACCGGGGTGTGAACTCATCGACGCGTTTGTTTTCCCAAAAACATCCCACTTGAATAGACTGAGCTCTCTACCTGAACTTTCATCTCAAGCGGGACTACTACAACTAAGTCCACATCAGATGGGATCAAAGCCAACTGTGAACCCTTCATTCCTTTGGGTTCCCTTACCATTCCAACCGTCGTTTCTACACTCGAATTTGCAAGAAAAACTTAATTTCAATAGATGCAGTCACAACACAACGTGTTACGACAGAAAAGGAACTCGGTCAGAGATGGATAAATTTTGGACAGGTAAAGGGAGGAGAAATGGCAAATAGGATGGGCGTAGATCTGGATACATGATTAGAATTAGTGAAAATTGAACACACAATGTGAATGGTCATCAAGGTCGAACACTCTTTGCTTGCAATCAAAAGTCATAAACCCACTCAGGAGTCACATCAGTACATTCCAGCCCAAAGGGGAGATCATTTTATTAAAGCGTCGTTATCCGGACTCGAGTCGAGCCCGAATAAAAAAAATTCTTAAGTCCGAATATGAAAAAATGTTATTCGGACTCGGGTCCGGAAAAAAGGAAGTGTCTTCGTTCTATAGATCTAACATTCAGTGCCTCCAATTTTCTGCCATTTTTTGGTTTCCCCCACACCTTATCTGCCGATCCAATGCCCGCCGCCTCATTGATACCCCCCCCTCCCCCGTTTCCCACTTACTTTGTTGTAGAAAAAGGTAAAATTGAAGATTAGCAGACCACCTGGCACATTATGAGCTGTGTAAAAAAAAGAAAAAAAAAGGCCGATTCGTTCAAATACACAAGCCTGTGTCATATCGATTGTTTACCAAGAAAAAGTTGTGTTGCTGTGTAGAGCTGAGCATACGGCAACTTTTGATTCCCTGAATCAGCGCACAATTCATTACGTAGATCTACGTCAAGACTAGCTTATTATTGTAATAATGATCAGTTGTCGGGGGAAAAAAGATCGACGCTTATAGCGACGTTCAAAGCCCGGACCGATAGTGCCCCCCCCCACCACCCTCCCCGACACGCACACAGCCACAAGTGTGCAGGCCGCCCATCCGACCCCGACACATGCTAACGAGCCATCTTTATTTGCTTCTGAAGACCTCTTGATAAATAAACATTTATTAGAAGCGCTATAACTTTTCAGGCCGGCCTCAAATTCATCATAAGATTAAAACTTGGCTCCTGCACAAAACGCCTTTTTGCCCGAAGTGATCCCGGTCTCTACCCAGCCTGAGGCGAGTCACGAGTGAGGCAGGACAGGAAGCCGGATTCACGAGTTACAGGAAGTCGGAAGTGATGTCATGCTGGACAAGAATCAGAGTCCGAATAACATTGTTTCATATTCGGACTCGAGTCCGAATAATCACTTCGTTTATTAAATGAAGTCGTGCCTGCCTGAACATATGAGTAACCATGGATTCTCCCCTGCCATGGTGCGTCGGTTGAGATCCCCTATATTTACCTTGCTGCCTCCCTTGAGTGCCGGGACAACAGTATTGATGTTTTCACTGCGACTATACTTGAACTAGATCTTACGAAAGGGACACATTAAAATGATACGGAGTGTCTACGTACACGGTAACCGGGCAGTTCAGAACTTCAAGTTCAGTTTGTCATCCAGTGTTGCCTTCATCCCCACTCCTCCCTCTGACTGTACCTTCAAAAAAATAATCAATCAAATCCCCCCCATTCCGGAGCCCCTATGCTTCGCAGCGCACAGGCATTGAATGAGCTTTGGTGACCCCCAACCAGTACTCACAATGTGATGCGCACGCACAGGTTCACTGACCGATCCCGGTGGGGAGCCCGACAAGACGCTTGTTACTAGTATGACTTTCTTTTTTTCAGCAAGTGACAGCACAGGACAAAATATTGATTTAATTTCATTCCGGTTTATCGTGTACGTAGATACTGAGACTAGGTGCCCGGTTACAGTGTACGTAGACACTCCGAAAATGATGTGAACAAGGGTTCCTCCAACAAACATGTCATTGACAGTGATGACACTAGATTTACTGACGAGCTACTGTTTCTCAAAACATAACATTTTTAAAAAGAAAAGTGGGACTGGGCCAGCAGTAGTGGGATGGAAAAGAGTAATGTCGAGAGGAGATAGAAGGATAGCCTAGAATTAGGAGATCTAGATCTAAAATAAATCTTGCGAAGTGGCTAGATCTATATCTCCGAATGCTCGGGAAAATAAACTTGAATCTCTATTTCTCCAAACGGTTTCCGTTCTCAAAATTTTTTGGTTATTAGTGAGATTTAGGCGTCATCTTTCATTATGCCTATGCCATTCTGCGAGCAATTTCCAGAGCAAGAGATTTTTCAATTGCCGATTTTTAAATGTCTGATTATTCAGGGATACTTCAGTTGTGGTTGGGGCAATGTTCCTGCTATACTTCATTTGAAAATGCGTTCAAAAGGTACTGCGAGAAAGCAAAAGCTCGACCTTGGCAGTAACCTAATATATATTTTGCATTTAGTCACACCTAGCCTAGATCTCTAGAATCTAGAAATAATCTAGAGCCAGAGCAAAAACTAAAATCCTTCACGTAACCCCCCCCCCCAAATGAAATCCCTTCATGCCCCCCCCCCCACAGGGCCACTCCATTTGCAAATTATTAACAAATATCGAGAATGGAAACTGTTCAGAGAAATAGATCTAGATCTTGGGAAGGACTTCCGTAACGAGCGACCACCCCGTCAAACACAAAAAAAGAAGAGGCCTAGACCTAACCCCCCTACCCCTAGCGAGCAATTCTGCTGTCTCATAGTGAATGATAGTGGTCGCTCCTTACGGAAGTCCTCCCAGATCTAGATCTAGAATCTAGGATTCTAGGGCCGGCCTAACTAGATTACTAGATTCTAGATCTAATCTAGATCTATCTAGACTCTAGATATATAGACTATAGATCTAGATCTAGAATCTAAATCTCGTCCCTTGAAGTTGAAGAAAGGTCATTTGATTAAAATTTTTCACTCTTCAAAAACAATACGTAGGCTACATTTTTATAATGGCACCAATAAGGGTGGTTGCTGGGGAGGGTTTCTTATTCTACACACAGCCACAGACCCATTGCCAATGATTTAAAAAACTTGACCACCAGCGGCCCATCATCATGTCAATGTCATCATGTAGATCTATGTGGCATGCCGTTCAAGTAGAGGCTACAAGTTCATGATCAAGCATAGCATACCAAAAAGTCTAAGGTGTTAAAAGTTAGAGAAACAGATTGTCGTCTAGATTCTAGCAGTGTAAGAAGAGGAGCCTAGCACTGGGGCCTACCTTTCGACTAGCCTACTATTGTCACACGTGAGACGCGTCAAGTTCAGAAGCGCAATTCAAGTTTGGGGCTCTAGATCTAGATATTAGATCTAGACGCAATCAGTAACATCAACTGATGATAGTTTGAAGTTCGAACAAAAAAAAGAACACACTAGATTAGCTTTTTTCTTCAAGAGTACGGTTTGAAACACTTACACAACCAGCTGAGTCGACAATCGCCAATCAAGAGGAGGAAGTGAGATCGGTCTCTGAGTTTGAATCCACCACCGAATTCAGATTCTAAAAATAGAACCTGTTTAGGGCGCTTTCATTGGTCGTTTCAGTTCACCTTCTTTGATTGGCCTAGGGCCTACTGTTTAGGCCTAAGTCTGACAGATATTTTCGTAGATTTTAAATAAATTGCAAACAAGCTTTTCAAAGGAAATAATTTTCTGCTCAAATACAATATTTACCCTTGAAAGTGTAAAAGTCATTCTCTGTATCCAATCCAGTACACAGGCTAGGCCTGTTGTGTTTTTCGAAGTCTCTAATTTGTGAAGAGAGAAAAGAGTAATCATAGTCAAATGCGCATGCGTTTAAACATGTTTTCATTTGCGACAAGATGGCGCATGCATTCAGGTTCCTACGACGATGAACATGAGTACTGTTTACACAGTGTTTTCCTGTCTGCAAGCCAAGATTATTCTAATAAGTTTCTAAATCTTTCCCATATCTAATTACAAGCACAAGGGGAGTAGTCAATTGTGTCAACAGATTCAATTAAAATGTCTGCTGACGAAGACACAGAGCTTCGAGATCTTGTCGCTCAAACTCTTGAAACTAACGGAACTTTAGGAAAGATACGGGTAAGTTTGAAACCACAAGTTCGACAGTAACACTACTTAGATCTACAGACCTACATGATAGAAAAAGAGATGAAGCAAACATGTTCTATAATTTATAGCATAATTCTTGTATCACGAAAGGCCACCTCTATTCTCAAGCGCAGGCGAGTCTTGGCTATTCTCACCCAGTGGGCGTTCACCGTTATAGTTATAGCCTAGCCTAGGCCAACCAGTGAAGCGTTCACCCTGAACCACAAAATTCTACACTGTGATAACAGAATTATAGAATTCTGTGCTGTGAACAAACATTCTAGATCTAGACTAGATCTATTACTACTGTTAGTGTTAGCCTAAAACTAAAAGCGTGCAATTTTGTCTGTCGGCAGTGGAGAGAGAGAGGAGTAGCGCGAGAACTTCCGGGCAAAACAAAATGGCGACCCGTGTAGTTCGGCTCGATTCGGAAAGTTAAATAGCCGTAGCATCTTTGTAGACAACCAAATTAATTTAGATCTAGATTCTAGTTTTGTTTCCTCACCGATAGACAGTATTCAGAAAGAGACACAGAGAGAGAGAGGGGAGGAGTAGATCTTGCGAGAACTTCCGGGCAAAACAAAATGGCGACCCGCGTAGTTCGGCTCGATTCGAAAAGTGAAATAGCCATAGCATCTTTGAAAACGATCAAATTAGCTTACTTTTGTACTATAACGTAATTTTTTCTTGGCTTTTATCAATTTAATCATCCACACCGATAGAAGTATGGAAGAGGCTAGCCGTACTTAATGACGGCTAGACTGGCAGTCTAGCCGTACTTATTCTTAATATGATGGCTAGACTGACCATTTACAAAAAATAGGCCTACTGAATTGTAAGTATAAATTTTTAGTGTGCAGTACCTAAAGTATTTGTATTTGAGACGAAACCAGGTGCCTTAATGACAGTGCATGTATTTTAAACCTCCTGTTTTCTAATTCTAATGTTAATAGGGCCTAAGATAAGTACGGCTAGACTGGCAATCTAGCCGTACTTAAGTACGGGTAGACAGCCAGGCTAGCCGTACTTAAGGACGCTAGACTGTCAGGCTAGCCGTACTTAATATTGATGGCTGAATTGTAAATGAAATTTTTAGTTTGCAATGCCTAAAGTATTTGTATTTCAGACAAAACCAAAAGGTGCCTTACTGACTTGCATGTATTTCAACTTGAATAATTACTAGATCTAGATCTAATGAGACCTGTGTACTTAACAGGCTTGAATCGATAGGGCCAAACGTACTTAAGTACGGCTAGACTCTCTTCTTAGAAGTATTCCAAAATGAGGAAAAACAGGTCTTGTTTCACACCGGGTGAGAATAGCCTACGCTGGCAAGTCTCACCCGGGGTGAGAGGTAGATCGTAAATTTATTCTCACCCGGGGTGAGAATAGCCACTTCTATCACGAAAACATGGATTCCAAGAAAGAAGAGTGACATTCGTTAGCAATGACAATGAAAAATTAAATTTTCATCCAAATTGCTGAAAAATGGACTTAAATGAAAAAAGAGTAAATTCTAAGAACTATGGTTTTTAAATTTTGAAAACCCATTGATAAATAAAAAAGTTATTGGGATTTTTGTTTGCAAAATGTTGGAGGACCTTCATATAGGAAAAAATCGCCAAAATGTGGGACATGTTTTGATGTATTTTGAGGAAAAACTGTTCATAAGTCAATAATGAATTGGAGCATATGAATGAAACTTGGCATCTCCATGTGATTTTTAGTGCCGAATATAGTTCTGCTATCACTTTTTCGATGTCTTCATTACTTTGGATCTTAGAGACTGATATTTGCGTGAAATTTGTTGAATTGCGTGACATCGTTTTTACCGCGACGCGATCACCCCTTTTAAAACTCAGTAAAGCGCTATCGGGAAAACCTGCGATGTAGTCATCGGTGACCCATTTGGTTATAGGCAGCCAATCACATGCCGCCTAGCGATCACGCGCCTCTTGCCTGCCGGCACCTCGCATTTGGAATGCGCGATCAAGTTTCTAGATCTAGGGTTTTATCAATGGATGGGTGGTAATTTTAAGTTGGTACGGAAAATCTACTAAACGCAGAGATCTGAAATTTTACAGCAATAAAGAAGACATGCATGTGGGGCGCTTGTGTGGTCGGCGATCAACCCGCAGCTCCGCTTAGTTTTCGAACCGCAGAGGAAATTCGCACAAACACGGCAATATCTCCGGTTCTAGTAATCGTTCGGGATTGTACGCTGGCATGTCGTTAGTTTAACCTTTCCTCTGGCTGGTTGCCGAGTTTCATTTATTTTCATCCAGGAGTTTTCCCGTAACAAAGCTTAGAAGAGGGTCACTTCTGATTCCGAGCGGCCCAAAAAATACCCCTCGTGCGGAGGCCGATTTCCGGCCCAAGGCGCAGCGGGCGATTGGCATTGCTACATTCGTTAATCGCATCGCGGCGTTGCAAATAGGCACTTCCTATGTTCTATAGTTGACACAGGGGGTAGAAACTAGTGAACTATTGCAGTTTTTATCTGTACTGGTCTTTACCTGGCCTCTGCTCTACAATAGAGATCACCACCAGAAACTCGGTCACTCAATGGTGACCTAGATTTTCGACTACATTCCACTAGGCCTAAGGTCTTAGTAATATTACCAAATTTGGTGTGTGTACAACCGTCACTTTATACAGCCAGTCAAAAGCCAGTGTAGTGTGCTCTCGTTAGCTCCATGTATTCTCATGTTCTTTTACTAAGTCACTGCACTTTTATGTATGCATATTTCGATCTCGAATTTCTAATTGTATTATAATACTACTGTACTGTACTTTGTATATCTGTACTACTAGAACAAGTAAAGTAAGCACTTGTACTGTTGTGACAGTATTTGCCACTAAATTGCCATTTGCAGTAAGTGGCAGAATCTTGATGTTTGAAGAGGCGAATTGTAGCAATGCCAATTGGGCTTCCGCATGCAGCGAAAATCTGGTCCCCGTTTGTTTGTGAATTTTTGGACCGGGTCAGAACGATAGTGACTAACTTTCTCGAGCTCTTTCTGCGCTATTTCTGGACCAATGTGAATGAAACTTGGCCGCAACCAATTAGAAAATAGGGCAAACTAATGATATACCTATACTTTTGATGTCGGAAACACTTTCATATCGGGTACACCGAAACCTATTAAGGAGTTCAATATTCGATACCGATATGGTAAGAGATCCATCTTCCTTCTATAGTGTGTTCAAATCTGAACCTTCTTTGTGGTGTAGTTGTGCAGAATTTATCACATATCCAAAGCGTTCATTGGTCACTAGAAATAGGGCAATGGGGGGCGCGCGCATCCGGTTGTTTTTCTCTATGTTCCCCTGTAACATCGCAATGGGGGTATTCCGAGGTGAGCTTATCTCGCCTCGGGGTGTTCGCATCTCAAAGGGTAAAAGGGGTTTTAATTGAACGGCATGTTTTAATTATAACAAAATAACTACGACATGGTTACTAAATCTGACTGCAGAAATGGTTTCTCTTCTCCAAAACACATCGGGTAGCCTCTTTTCTTTCTAACACTCCGATTAATTACTGAGATATCATCGATTATCTGACAGAATCTACTACTGCGTTGTCCCTTGTTTAGGAGTATTTTCCTATATGTGGGTCATCCATATTTTGCCGACCTTTACAACCCAATAACTTTTTTATTTATGAACCGATTCTTCAATTCAAGAAGCATAATTCTTAGAATTGAAAATTCTTTCTTAGATACCAAATAAAAATGGGCTAAAGCGAGAAATTAAATTTTCATTAAAATTGCTACGAAGTGAGTCCGAATTGACAAAAATTATATTCAGACTCTGAATTGAGTCAAGCATGATGTCCGTTCGATAGTAACTAACTTTCTCGAGCTCGTTCTGCGCTATTTCTGGACCAATGTGAATGAAACTTGGCAACCAATTTAAAAATAGGGCAAACTAATGATATGTGAAAGTCGAATTTCGTACTCATAAATTAACCTATACTTGTGGTGTCGGAAACACTTTCGTATCGGGTACACCGAAAACTATAAGGAGTTCGATATTCGACGCCGAGATCGTAAGAGATCCATCTTTCCTCTATAGTGTGTTCAAATTTGAACCTTCTGTGTCAAGTAGGTTTGTGCAGAATTTATCATTAATGCACGACTCCCCCTGTCCTAATCGGCTTTGCACGGAGACCGACCATTTTCCCCTCACTCTCTATGCAAATGTCTGTGACCTACAAATCCCGCACTGTTCCGAGCCCGTTCATTGGTCACTTGAAATAGGGCAATGGTTGGCGCGTGCATCCGATTGTTTTTCTCTCTGTTCCCCTGTAACATCGCAATGGGGGTATTCCGAGGCGAGCGTATCTCGCCTCGGGGTGTTCGCGTCTCAACGGGAAAAAGGGGTTTTAATTGAACGGCATGCTAGATTGTATTAAATTATATTTTATTGTTGGCATTGCTTAAAGTTATTAAAAAGGGTTTGCCATTATTTAGTCACACTGCCAACATATTCTTAAAAATCCCATGTTCTGATACAATGCTATAAATAAAATGGACTCATCCCAACACCCCTTTACCGCAAAATCGTAATATTAACACCAAAATTTTAATTATAACAAAATAAATATGACATGGTTAGTAAATCTGACGGTAGAAATGATTTCTCCACCCAAAAACACATGAGGTTGCCAAGTTTCTTTCTAACACTCAAATAAATTACTGAGATATTGTCGGTTTTCTTACAGAATCTGCTTCTGCGTGGTCCACTGTTTTGGAGTATTTTCCTTTATGTGGGTCATCTATATTTTGCCGACCTTTTCAACCCAATAACTTTTATTTATGAACCAATTGTTAAAATTCAAGAAAAATATTTCCTCCCTGCATCATAAGTATAAACAGAACGAGTAAGTTGAGCTGACCTTGCTGGGGGCAAAGTTAATTATGTCGACCAATGAGACTGCGCATAGTGATCAACCACTCTCGGCTTGCTGAGGGAAGAGGTGTTGGGAAGAGGCCACAGCTGTCGGTTTTGTGCAATGTGATAAAAAAAATAATTACAGAAATACTATAACACACAACAAAATTAAATTAAACATGTGGAAAGACAAATGGTGGTGGAAGTAATGATGATGCTGTAGTGATGGTGGAAAGACGCTGAGTTGTCGGTTACTGTGTACTTAGACACTGCCATTGGGTAGATCTAATGAGAGTGCAGTCTTTTGACTTTTGACACGATTACACAGTCCTAGTAGGCAATTCTAGTTCTAATTGTGGTTTTACGTAAAATCTCCAGACGGCAGTTATATTATGTAACCTCCTTACACTCACATAACTCACTTACAAGCTGAGTCCGAATAAATATTTAAAGCATTTCTTTCGGACCTGAGTCCGTATAGATAAAACCCATATTCGGACTCGAGTCCGAACAGATCTGGCCCAGAGGTGCTGGATAGTGAAATTCTTTTGACTTCTGTCAGGTTGAAAAAAACAACTTCTGCAGTGATACAGAGTCCAAGAACTGTGTCTAAAAATAGTCTAAATATCTCACATTCACCGAAACTTACTTTGAAATGAAATTATATGTCTTGTGTCTTATGGACTCTTGTGGTTCAACAGAAAAAAGAGTGGAATTCCGTAACAAGTGACCACTATGAAATAGACAGAGGTCTAAGGTTTGGGTTAGGTGTAGGGTCAGGGTTAGGGTAAGGTCGTTTCTTTATTGTGTTTAGTTTATAGAGGTGGTCGCTCGTTACGGATGTCAGGCCAAAAAACTAAAAGAGAAGACTGACAGACTGACTGTTATGATTCTTGAATTATGATCAGAAAGCTTCAATTTTTTATTTTTTTGAAAATTGAATTTTTCAGGCCCAACTGCGAGCCAGCGTGTTCCTAGCTCTCGAGGATCAAGAAAATGGCCAGGTATGACTTTTCATGAAGTGCCTGTTAAATGAAAATCACACTTAATCCTTGAAGAATAGTATCACAAGTTAAAAGTCTTTCGACCTACATTTTACATCTTTTTGAAAATATGACATGATGTTAATCTTTGTTTAAGAGAGGTCTGTGCTTTGATGATCTCAAATAGTCTATAAAAACCTCAGTAAATGAGTGATGTTTACTCTTCAGTTTTGTAATTTTTGTATGCTGTGTCACTGTATGTTTCTCTTCAAGAATGGGAAAATGAGGTGTACTTAATTTTTGAAAAAATATTGATGATTTTTTCATAATTATGTCGTGGATTTATGTGACATTCACATTGTAACAAGTCCCTTGGTTATATTAGTGGTTGCAATATAGCAGCCTCATCTTTTTTATATTTTTTTCAATACTATTGAATTTGTTTGAGCAATATAATGCAGTTAATTGACATTCACGTATATGTGAATAGTAAATGTGCATTTATTTTCTTATTTTATCATATTTGTTTGAATTTCGAAGATGGTTTTACATGTTCAATTTGTATCAGATAAGAAGCAAGAAAGTTTTGTGCTCGTAATGATGGTATTTATATGATATGTTATATAGTGTATGTTGGGATCGGGGGTTCCATATAAGTTTACGGTACCTTAATGTTCATTTCTTTCTTCATTGCAGAGCAAAACTCCCTTCTTAAACAAAGGGCTGCGAAGCTTTTTATCCACAAAGGAAGGTACTGATTTTAATAAATTTCATTAGCTTTTAAAAATTGCAAATTGTTTCCCGACTTTCTTTCCTGTTTACTTGTGCTTTTTTTTTTTTTTTCAATTGTTAGTTTATTGACCAGTTATACAAAGTATGGCTGTGTCTGTTTTTACCTTGGGTGCCTGACTTTTATGTGGGGTAGGAAAGCTGTTTGTGTCATTTTCATGCCATTTTTCTTCTAGTCTCATCTTTTTGTTGAAAAGGACTTGTGTAGTTACAGTATTGCAGTGGCAGCATAAAAGCCTTGTTTGCTCAGATTAATTGATTTCAACTGTACTGGTTGATTGGTGTCTTGAGTAATGTCAGAATTTTAGCCATGCCTTATGGTTTTTTGTTGTTGTTGTTTTCTTTTTTCTCAGCAGATGCTGTTCTCTTAAACTGTACAACTGTACTGAATTTAATAAAATTGAATCCTTTGAGATATGTGGTGCTGTTTTTTTACCAAAATTTGAAATAGATTAAGAAAAATTTAAGATGTTATAGGAAAAGGGGGGGGGGATTTTTTCTTTAATGTTTGATGTACATAACATTAATTGCAGTCCATCTTTTCACCTTACATGTAATCCCGTAAGCTAAGAAATCTTCATAGTTGCAGGATTGTGGCTGTCTCAGACCTGATCAAACTATTCTGACTCCTTAACACTACACGGTCCACGTCCAGTCATGCCTATTCTGTATGAGGAGGTCATAAATGAGTCAGAAACAGTCTAAATTCATTCCTCATGAGCTGAATGTAAATGGATGCAGACTCATGGGGAGGTGATGTAATATATTTTGCGTTCATTACAGAGACTGGTATCTCTCGCTTGCATGTATGATGGAAAATAAGTTCCTGTGTCTAGGATAGACTAAGAGAAAAGCAGTTGACTTAGCAAAGTCCCTGAGGAGTTGGAAAAAGGAAAGGCAGTGACATGAAGAACCCCCCCCCCCCCTCCAAAAAACAAAAAACAAAAACAAGACAGGTAAGAAGTAGCAGTTGGTGCTTGTATCCTCCCACTACCTGCAGACTCATTGTTTGAGTCATTTTTCTTTAAAAAAAAAAAATCAAAATCTAAGCCACTAACATAGCTATAAATGGTTGCATCTACAGGTCAGCTCACAGCCAGTCTTGTACAGGAATTCCTAGAATTTTTTAACCTGGAGTTCACCCTGGCTGTGTTCAAACCTGAGATTGGCTTGGTGTGTATCATTTGTTCTGTGGATGTGGGTGGTTTGCGGTTGTTTTGGTGTTGTTTACTCCTTCTTTCCTGTCAAACATCTATCATCCTTATCTTTCCTCCTCCTTTTATGTGTTTGTTCCTCTCTTTCTCTTTTACAACACTCTAATCTCTGGCGTCCACTTGACTCAATTGTATTGCAATTGCAGTAATATACTTAGTAAAGCAGTTCTGTGGGTGTCAGGTATTTTTTGTTTCTACTAGTTTTGTTTGATACTTTTTCTGCCTTTGAAATGTCATGTTCTGTGTCAGTTGGGTAGTGAATTACTTCGAAAAGAAGAAAAAAAAGACACACACCCCCTCCCCCCGAACAAAAAGGGAGGTCAGCGGACACATTTCTCCGCTGTAGCATTTTAATTTCATAAATGATATTTTAGTTTTCTTTTGCTTTGCCATCACCTAAAAAAATAAGTCAAAATAAAATAAATACAGTATTTTATTGTAGACTGTTTTATTCCCCTGCCCGTTTTCACCCCCCCCCCCCACTCTCTCTCTCTCTCTCTCTTTCCCTCTCTCTCTCTCTCTCTTTCCCTCTCTCTCTCTCTCTCTCTCTCTCTCTCTCTCTCTCTCTCTCTCTCTCTCTCTCTCTCTCTCTCTCTCTCTCTCTCTCTCTCTCTCTCTTTCCCTCTCTCTCTCCCCCTCCCCTCCCCTCCTCTCCAGGATGCTTTACAGTATGTCCTTGTGAGGACAAAATTTATTAAATTGTTGTGAAAAGGAGCTATTGGGAACTCATTCAAGCCATTTTGTACTACTATAAAATGTCCCTCATATCATTTAACTGTGTTGTTTTTCAGAATGAGCAAATGAAAAGAACTGAGCTGATAAAAGATTTGAACTTGAATAATACGACTGCACCCCCAAACGCACCACTTATTACCTGCTTGCTGAAGAATGACGGGCAAACAAATCAGCACAGATCGTCTGTTGGAGCCGGAGATCATAGCCATATATCAGGGGTCAGTATACAAGACTTTCTCGTGTCCTTCTTCCGCCTGGGATTCAGTGCAATTTTATTATTTCTGCATAGCTTCCAACTAGTATGTAAAATATATACCAGGTGACCCCAAAAAAACTTTTGCCCACAGAGACACCCATAAAAAAGGTTAAAATAGAGATAGGAACACAAGATTTCACAGACATACTATGTAACCATCCGGATTTATTGTGACAGATTAACAAATAAAGATTCGAAGTTTGAAGGTTAAGTTAGAGTACATACTTCATGTGACGTCCATTTCGGGCGATACACGCTCTGCGGCGCTTGGCGAAATTGTCTGTGACATTTTCCATTTTCTGAGTCTTTGATGTACCTGGATCTTGTACGGTTCAAACTTCAGATCGTACTTCAACATACGCCGAACAGATTCTCTAGCAATAGTTAATTCAATACTATGACGACGAACTAGCTTTTTAGGTTCTTGGCTCACAGACTCCATCACCACTGCCACATTCTCAGGGGTGTGCACTTGCATCGGTCTCCCACTGTGGGTGACCCTAGTTTTCAGTCTCTTGTTTTTATTTTTAACAGAGCTATGTGATTTGAAGTCAGCCACCCACTTAAGTATTGTTACTTTACTTGGTATTTTCTTACGGTCTTTGGTATTAATTCCAAACCGTGTACAGAAGAGATTCCGTGTCTGCTTAGGGAACTTTGTATCGATATATGTTTCAACCATAAAAGTACATTGTTGAACAGTGGACTGTATTTTCGGAGTAGCCATGGCTGCTTGCAAGGTACTGTTGTTTTTGTTAAGTGTTTCTCCTTCCGGATGGTTCTGCTTGCTTCCTGTTAAATCTTATATGAATTGTGCACTTTGGTAAGAGAGCTATAGGCTTTCCTGCGGGTAAAGGGTTTTTTTTTTTTGGTCAGTAGGTATTTATTACGTTTTTGGGGGCCTAGTACGGAAGTCCATTTTCATATAGGAAAATATGCATTTCCATTTTCTAGTTTTGCACCTCTAGGACTTGCTGATGCTGAAGAAAAATTATGAACTTTCGAGACGGAATGAGAATGAAGCCATTTAGTCAATTGGAGAGATCTTTTTCTAAGGTCTAGATCAAGTTTGAATAGCTTGAATTTATTGAATGAAGAAAATGTTTGTGTAAAGGGTTTGTTGGGGGGTGTTACTTTATCAGTGCCCACCATCCTGGTCTGCCATGTGGGTGAGTCTTGTTTTATTTTGGTTTTGAAAAGTTGGCATTTATGCTTCTGGCTGATCTCTGTTCTTTTTATGATTTGATTGATTTTATTGTTGAAATACTGATAGGAAATGTTGACTACTTGTTTGTGTTTTTTGTGTAGTGGAAGCCATGGTACTCTTATGCCTGTCACCTCTTATTCTTTATGTGTGATCGATCATCTTTTGCTTTTCTTTTGGTTTTGGAAAGAAGAAATTAAAAATGGACATGTTAAGTAATTTGTCAATTGGAAATGGGGGGGGGGGGGGGGGGGGGGTGATGGAAGTGTGACTATTCTTCTTAGAAATGGGATAAATGAGAATATGTGCTATTTAATAGGATCAAAATTGGCCTTGTGGCTTGGAAGAAGGTTATGGCTAATTTTTGGATACGTCAAGAGTTATATGCTGCTGTCTGTAGATTCTGCTACTTTGCAGTACTCTGCTATTGCTCTGTGTTGTCTTTTTGAAAATACTACTTGAATAGTAATTGTTCTCTCAACACAGCTAAACCGTTTTTTTTTTTTAAATTCGGCGGCCCACAGACAGATTTCAGTTTAAGACGACTACACTATTTGTGTACTTTATTTAATTTGAGGGAACAAAATAATGCCTTTCTTTCATGGGTGGCATTTAATTCTGTACTTTTCTTCACAGAGTGAATCTCACAGGGTAAAGTATTGTTGTGTGTATTTGAAACGATTGTAATTCAACTGTAATGTTTGCAATTGAGAAATAAATGCTAATGCTTTCATATCGTAGTAGAGGTTGTGATGTGTATTCTTGCTTTCAGCTCTTATAATTCTTATATATCATTTTATATTATTCTTATAGAATAAGTTGTAAAACTAGCTTTTTACTCTGTTGTGAGCTGAATCTCTGAATATATGTAGTGTGTGAAATTCAGTGACACTCCTTTATTCTTAGATTTCAAATGTGTATTTGTCTTTTCCCATCAATCTATTATGCTTACTAATTTGGATGGACGACTTCTGGTTCTTTCGAGATGCTTTGACTCTTCTTTATCTTTTAAAAGGTCCCAAATATGGTCTCTTCTGTGTCTCAAATGTTGATTATGAGGGTGGTTGGTGGGTGCCACTGGTAGTTCATACTTCTGTTCTTTCCTTTTCTTATTCCTGCCTGACTGGAAGCTCTTTTTTGCATGGCGTGGAACACATACTTTACAGTTCGGCACATCCTAACGGAATGTGTCGACTTTAATGATATACATACAAAATAAATATTTTAAATGTAAAGATGTCAACACTCTTTTTGACATTGTTAATCCGAGAAAAAATTTAAGTTATGTTAAAGAAATAGGACTGTTAAATAGGATATAAAAATATATAGTTATCAGGCGCGGTTCGTCCATTGAGCACGGTCGTGCAGTGCCGCCCACAATTTTTAAAGTTTTTATTACGTAAAACACCCACAATAATAAAATAAAAGGAACCAGAAACAAACACTAGCCAAATATTATATAAAAACAAGGTCCTCAGTGGCGCAATAACTGTCATTTCTGTGTCTATAGCGCCGTAAAACATCTACTATGCTATGCCAAAGTCCACGCGCTTTAGCTAAACATAACAGGATACTCAACCGTGTAACCTGGCCTATAAATCGCTGTTGGGGATAACCCAAGCGATGACGACATTCGTAGCGAGTTTGGCGGTACATTAATATTAATAAGACGGCACATCTCAAATGTGCTCCTGCCGAATAGTGCCGAAACATAGCCCACAGTTGGCAGTCTAAAAATAAACGCAATAGACCGTACGCTATTCTTTGCCAATATCATGTGAGCCCCGGAGCAATCCAGCGGGGTGCTCAAGTGAATTGTGATTGGTTCATTGTATGTCTTGCCACTATTTTAAGTGACTCTGTGACCGTGAACCTGAGGGAGGTGAACATGGCCGCCCTATGAGTTGTGCTTTTGATTGAATGGTTTTGTAGTGGAGTAGTGAAAGTTATTACTTGAGTGGTCAGTTCCAATACAGGATGAACGAAACTGATGTTTAGCTAACAAACAAATTTAGCACTAGAAATCAAAGCGACAAGTAAAAAGAATGAAAATAAAAACACAAGGTCCTCCCTCACCAACCAAAAGATCTTAAAATTATAGATTCTACACCGTCTCATTTACAATGCCCTTGACTATCTTCAGCATGCGATTGCTTAATTGTGCACGTCCACTTTTTAGCCCCTCGAGCCGCCCCTGATAGTTATCACTGTCAGTGTATATACATACACTGAAATTAATATTGTAAATACGAATGTAAATAAGTCTTTACCATATTTACACAAATTTTGATAAATGTCTGTCCGTCCTTTTAACATGATAATGATAATAAGACCGTGTGCAGTTGCGAGCTCCGAAAAACTCTTACTAAAACATGACTAATCATAGATTTGTTGCGGTGAAACCTATTGGCACTTAAATGACCAAAATTGAGTCGATTGTGCCGTAAAACACCTACTCAATCAATCATGACTGTCTTACTCTTTTCTTGAACTAAATGACCATCATTGTGTCGACATAATTCTCTTTACTCGAACAAAGTAACATTGAATTTATGTAAATAAGAGACTTTGTTTTCATGATAACCTTTCCCTCTTTCACTGTGTAATTCTATATGAGTCTTTCATGCTATGCTTTGTAGCTTGGGTCGAAGGTCTTATTTCTGGGCATCTTTCAGCCTTTCATATTTACAACCTTTGTTTACGTTGATGCCAAATACTCAGATGGGAGAGTGAAAGAAGTATTTTCATTTTAATGAATTGTTACTCTTTTCCTGTTTTAGTTTAGTCAAGGAACAGAATTCCATGATGGCATGGAAAACTATCAGAGCCTTTCCCTGTCTCAAATAGCATGAAGCAAGGCCGTGTACTGGCTCCAACTCTTTTCAAAATTATGTTCACTACAATTTTGCTGGAAGCTTTCAGATATTCTCCACCATGTGTGGCCATGAGGTCCAGAATTAATGTAGTGTGCATAACACAAAATTCCTAGCGAAGTAAAAAGCCAAAAAAGCTGAAAAATCCTGCAGTGCTAGCAAGATCTACAACTTCTCTTCTTCCTGGGATGGTAAAGGTCATCATCAGTACATGATGAACAAACGATTATATTTTTTTTAAAAGATGGCATCCAATGGAATATATTTTATTTTATGCCCCTATTACTGACCTTTTCTTTATGTGTGACCTCACAAGAACTAACTTCTAGTGTCAAGAGTCATAGGAATTTTTAGATGACTAATTTATCTTGTGATTTTCTTTTTTTACCACAACAAGGACAACAGTTAAGCTGCCAGTTGTATTATTTTGGAAATGTACATTTTGAATTTTACAGGCTTTTGAGCTGGTTCTAGTCCTGCTTTTATGACCTTTGTCATCATGGACTTAATGTCTCCATATCTGTTTGAGGAGAGTGGATTTTGTTGTTGATGGGTGACTATGGGTGACTAGTTCAAGATGAAACTGCAGCTAACATACTCGTCTTTCAAGTGAGTGAAGACATGTGTTTGAAATTCTGTGGAGACTGGATACACCTGAGGTTATTTACCTTCTGCCTGTCTGTTCATATTATCGAGAAGATTTTTTTTTACATTGCTCTTTTCTTGGTTTTTATTTTCAGGACCTTTCTGAAAAACAGATCTCAGATGCAAGGGAAAAGTTTAATTTCTATGATAAGGTACCGTTCTCCGTTATTATTTTTTTGGTCTCATTGATAGAAATATTAGTACACTCTTGAGATGTTGTTGTTGTTATTGATGGAGCAACAGCTGGGCTCTCACCCTTCTGTCCAATGCCTTATAGTGATAAGTGCCGGTTTGCTGCGGCCGCTGTGATGTTCCATAGAGTATTTTTGTTAGGTCTCGGAGGCAGAAGCGTAGCTCAAATGTCATTTTAGAGGTGGGCAGTGAAACAGGCACTCTTAAGATAAAATTTTCACTCCTAGTACTTTGTGTGCAGTCGAAAGTTCATGATGTTCATCAAATAGGCCACTCACCTTGTGTCATATTTCCATACAGTTATCTCTTGATAAATTTGTTATTTTATTGACGCAGTTTTTTTTCCCATTTGACTCCACAGGATCACAGTGGTGCCATTGACAAGGATGAATTACGAGAACTTTTTCTCGACATGTTTCCGAACTTTCATCAGAACATGCTAGAGCGTTACGTTAATGATGAATTCAAAGCTACAGACAAAAATTTCAGCAGCTGTAAGTAATAACATGCCTTTTGTAATCAACAAATTCCCTTTTTGTCTAAGTCTGACTGATCTTGAAGGTGAAGATGTTTGTTAGTTAGTGATGAATTAGTTTTACTTGTTTGAATAAATTTAATGAACATTGTTGATGATTACATTTCACCTTTGTTTTATCAGATTACAGTCAAGCACAGATGACTCAAACATGCAAAAAAAAACCCGGGGCAGTGCCACTGACTAGTGTCTTTAGGCCATTCTCAAATGGGGGACATTTCTCGTTCAAGCACAGTAGAATTGTAAATGGGCTGATTCATGTCACGCTCATAACTGTGCCTGATCTACAACAGGGAACTGCTTTTTTTTCTTTCTTAATCCTTACTATTGTCATTTTCCTCTACTTCTTTTGCATGTTTGTCACTCTCTTGTGACTTGCTATTTCCGGGGTGCCTTGATAGTCGAAGCAGACCTTGTGCTGTTGAAGCTAGAGAGGTGAGCAGAATAAGTCTTGATTCCCTGTAAAGACTTCTCTGTTGACACCCACCCCTTGGCGCTCATATGACCTTATGCAGTTGCGAGCGCCGTAAAACCCTCTACAATAATAAAACCCCCCAAAAACATGCAAATTCGAATATATGGTTAACTGGAACAATAGTCCATTCCCAGACTGAACTGCTATGTTTTCTCTGTATTGGCAGCACTATTTTCTTAAACATGGGCATGAATATGTCTAACAGCTCATCATAAAAAGCCTGGTCAAATTTCCTATCACAGTGTGTCCCAAATTCAAATCGCTTTTGCACATACGGCTACAATGAAAAACAAACACATCCATCTTTATAGAGAATATTAGGTTACACAAGCCCACCTGACTGGCTCCCATAGTGTGATAAACATACTGCTGATGTCGGGTTAGTTACATTATCATCCCACATTACCTGCTGTGTGCGTAAGGATCTAGAACTTCCCTATAATCTAGTCATTTGTGAGGGTGGGTGCTGGTGTGTGATTGAAGATTGACCGTGTAACAGTTTGTTACGTTTGTGCTTGTTTGAATGTGTGTGTGTGTGTGTGTGTTGTTGTTGTTGTTGTTGTTGTTGTTGTTTGAATGTTATGGCATGGATCAGGAAGTGATTACACAAAAGTGGTGACATGCTCTGATCAGTGCTGGTTATATAATGATGGTGATCTGAGGAGAGAGAAATATTTTTTTGTCTTAAGGCTGATCAGCATCACTCGCTTTGTCTCTTACTTCAACATTGATCAAGGCGCAGGCACTATCCATCCTTTTAGCCTACCCATTTATCGATACTAGGTACTTTTCATGAAGGCAGTGATTCATTTTTGGACCATTATACCATCACATTTATTTCTTGATTTTCTTGAATATCTCTCTTATATTATTGTTATCACAAGTTACTCGAATTACGGATATGTCAAACACATTTGTCAACCCCTAACATGTCCAAAATATCTGTGCATGACTGTATGGTATTCTCATATTCTTCTTTTGATTGTTTGTATTTTCCCCTTGTTCTTTCCTAAAGTTGTGGGTGGTTGGTGGGTGCTCTTGTATGGTTTGCTCCTTCTTTCCTATGACACGTTGATCATGCTTATCTCTCCTCTTTCTTTTCTTCGTATGTAACTCTCTACTAATACCTTTATTCTTTGGCCCTTATATGACCCAATTGTGTTACAAGTGCTGTAAAGCTCAAACTAAAACTAAACTTTCTAAAGTTATTGACATAGTCTCCAATATTGTCTACCAAACTGCTATTAAGAGCTTTGTATCTTGTCTTTCAATTTTTTAACCTCTAGCATACATCTTCTGATCTATTTGTATGCAGATCCTTTAAAAAGGAACAAGTTAACACATAAGAAAATGGAGTATGTGGTCACAGTATTATTTTTTTTCAGACTTTTTGTTATGATGTAGGCATGTTGATAAAATTTTTGTGTAAATGTTTTCTTTACAATGTTTCAGCAATGTATTCACTGACACCTAAAGGTATTGGTTTCAAAGTCTGCGAATGGGGGAATGGCTTTTGTGTTTGTGTATTTTCTGTGCATGGAACACTTTGCACCGTGTCACTTTAAAAAACGAAATTATGTATCTGTATTCCTTTATCTAGTGAGTGTTTAAAAAAATTAGATTCTCATGTTGATGACTGTGTTTGTAATTAGTTGTGAAGAGTCAGGATCACTGTCTCTGTGTAGCATGTCGTTTCTTTGGTAGGGCTGTTGTGTCACAATATTCTTTCCGAGGAGGAATGAAATTTTGTCTTGTTGTCGGCTTCTGTTGTTGAGATGTGTTTTGAAGGATGGAGGCTTTTTATTCTGTATTGCATGTCATCACTTTGACTTCACCACTGTGTCACAATATTCCCTTCAATACCGTGTGTCTGGGTGAAGGATGAGTTGCAGCCAATTGTACTGTGAAGCATATTGTCACTTTGCTCTACTGTGTTGCAATGTTCGTTTCAACATGTTTGGATGAAGGAAGTTTGTCTGATTGTAGACTTCCGTTGAGATGTTATGAAGAATTTTGGTCTGTTTTTCTGTATAGCGTCGGTGGTTAATGGGTGTCTGATGTGGTATTGGTTTCAAAGTCTGCGAATGGGGGAATGGCTTTTGTGTGTGTGTATTTTCTGTGCATGGAACACTTTGCACCGTGTCACTTTAAAAAACGAAATTATGTATCTGTATTCCTTTATCTAGTGAGTGTTTAAAAAAATTAGATTCTCATGTTGATGACTGTGTTTGTAATTAGTTGTGAAGAGTCAGGATCACTGTCTCTGTGTAGCATGTTGTTTCTTTGGTAGGGCTGTTGTGTCACAATATTCTTTCCGAGGAGGAATGAAATTTTGTCTTATTGTTGGCTTCTGTTGTTGAGATGTGTTTTGAAGGATGGAGGCTTTTTATTCTGTATTGCATGTCATCACTTTGACTTCACCACTGTGTCACAATATTCCCTTCAATACCGTGTGTCTGGGTGAAGGATGAGTTGCAGCCAATTGTACTGTGAAGCATATTGTCACTTTGCTCTACTGTGTTGCAATGTTCGTTTCAACATGTTTGGATGAAGGAAGTTTGTCTGATTGTAGACTTCCGTTGAGATGTTATGAAGAATTTTGGTCTGTTTTTCTGTATAGCGTCGGTGGTTAATGGGTGTCTGATGTGGTTTGCTCCTTCTTTCTTGTCAAACAGCTATTGTCCCTATCTCTCCTCCTTTTTTGTGTTTGTTACTCTCTTGTAGCACCTCTAATCTTCAGCATTTACATGACCTAATTGTGCAGTAAAACACACACTTCAGTAAAACTCTAACTGAAACAAAGAATTTCTGCCTAGCACATTGTCTCTGGATGGATTGTGCAGCTGTGTCGCAGTGTTTACTTCTGCATGTTTTGTCAAATGACATCTGGCGTTATTGGCCGCTGTTGTCATGTGTTCCCCAGACTGATGCATTCAGTCTAGCATGTGGGTGGTTGATGGGTGCTCTGGTGTGGATTGCTCCTTCTTTCCCATCACCCATGTATCGTCCTTATCTCTCCTCCTTCTTTTCTTTATATGTAACTCTCTAGCTATACCTCTATTTGTCGGAACATATTTGACTTGATTGTGTCACTGGTGCCGTAAAACTTTTATATGACCGTACGCAGTTGCGAGCGCCGTAAAACCTCAACTAAAACTAAACTAAAAACTTTTATTTACTAAAGATAAAAATTCTGTCTGGCACATTGTCTCACTGATAATGCTTTTTTGTCGTAGCATGTCTCATCGTTAACTTGTTGTCATTGAATCTTTTGGAGAGCTGTAGGAATGTATTCTTTACAGAATGTATTGTTTTTGTGTTTTTTATGCTGTTTTGTCACAGGGTGTTACAGCAGTATGTGTCAGTGGAAGGGGTTTCGCTTTGTTGAAAAGAGAAACAGGATAGGATATTGGAGGAAAAAAAGCTGAGGCGTGTCATTATTTGAGAATCTATTTGACGCTAACATTTCAGTCTTCTGTGTCAACAAATCTTGAACAAAGTAAAATTCTGCTGCATATTTAACATTATAATCTATGACGCTTTCATTTTGCGTTCTGTCAATGGTTTAGAGCTTCGGTTGTTGGTCTTGCCTCTCTTTTATTCCTCTGTGATTTCTGTCAGCTGTCTGACTTTTACAAATTGTATGGCCATTTAAGTGAAAGTGCTCTTCTCTCTTGAACTCAAATGAAGTGTAGCATTGTGGTCTGAATGATATTTGCACTATCACTGTACCTCAGATCTAGTTCTTGAGTTAACTTGTCACAATCTTAGCTTTGTTGTACAGGTGTATGTCATAGTAATTTGTAGACATTTTAGCTTAATCAATCTGCAATATGTTGCGAAGGATGTGCGGGTAGAATACTGCCTTACCCTGCCTTCATCTGTGAGATTTTGCAGTCACTGGCAAATGTTCATCTTAGAAAATACAGTTGAAATTGTCCAAGATGGTCATTCATTGTCTTGGAGAAAAGTAGTTGTATTGGACAATGTCATTGTAATATAAAAAAAAACCTTGAGAGAAAATGGGAAGTGGCCATTTATACAGTTGATTGTCTTGGACAGGTTGCCGCTTGAGCAGTTTTGACTGTAAATGGAAATATTGTGTTGTTTTTGTATCGTATGGTTCATTCTGTTGTACTTTCAAGCTTCTTGTGTCATCACCTGTCAGCATGCTGTTTAGCGTATTCTTTTATGTCAATAGATGTATCTAGATCAACTCAGAATGCATTTGGCCTTGGCATGGACATTGCTTTATTTCTGCTACTCTTTTGGATTCTTCATTGCCATTGTATATGTATTGAAGATACTGAAAGAAATCCTTGTGGGCTGCTCACTAATAAAAACAATAAGGAGGAGACATATGCAGTTTTTGAGACACTCGAGTCGGCATAAAGGCCTTGAATATCTTGTTCTTACTGGAAAAATAGAAGACAAATGAGGCAGGCTTAGACTAAGAGCAGCTTACTGGGAAAACCTAAACTTTGATGGGTGACAGGGAAAGACCTGGATAATAAACGTTTTTTGAGAGCATCTGAGCGGAGAATCAAATTTCGAACCTGATCAGTGATGTCTTGTCCACTTTTGACACTTAATGATGATGATAGCGGGTGGTTGGCGGGCACTTTGATGTTGTTTGCTCCTTTTTACCTATCTAACATCTATCGTCCTTTTCTCTCCTTCTCCTTTTTTGTGTATGTTACTGTCTAGTAACATCTATTCTTCGGCACTTATATGACCTTATTGTGTTGCAAGTGCCGTAAAAATCTTACTAAAACTAAACTCTAATCTTCAGCACTTATATGACCATGTTGTTACTATTATCATAAAACTCTTACTAAATATTTTTTTGGAAAGATGATGATGATTGTATATCATATTGCCTGTAAATGATCTTTGGTAATTTTGAAAATACAGCTAAAAAATGGTTGATGTTTATGTCTGTTCTGCTTGTTTGTGCACTGTTAGCGTTGTCTTTGTTTATATAGTAGTGGTTTTGGTGACTCTTTTTGTCTCTCAGTATGTTATCCTTCTCATGGCTGTAGGGTACACTTAGTAAATTAAGTTGATGGATCCTCTTAATTAAGTAGATTATACTATGTACTGCTCACCACTCTTTACCATGCAGATTCTTTGTTCTGAAGTCTTTCTTGAATTTTTTCTTTGCGCCGTTTAGAATTTATTTTACATGAGGCATGTATCAGACCCAGGCTAGCTTAAACAATTTTTTTGTGCCATGACATTTGTCATATCAGTGTAAATAAATTCTAGTAGGATTTAAATTAGCTCATCAGTTACAAAAGGAAAGATGACTTTTTTTACTATTGATGTTCAATTTCCGAGAGGGGAGAATTTTTATAGAGTATTTCAGTCTTTCTGCGTGGATGTTGTATCTCTCTCAGCTGGGTTTGGCCCTTGCAGGTGGAGATGCCCACCTTCTAGTGGTTAGGCTATTGGACATGTAATCGTGAGGTTATGGGTTTCGGGGTTCGAGCCGCGGGCCCGACGTTGTGTCCTTGGGAAAGACACTTTACACTAATTTTCCTCACTTCACCCAGGTGGGAATGGCTACCCAGCTATAGACAGTGAAAGATCTTGTCATTTTGTTCGTGTTTGAGTGCTTAACCAGCTGCTTGCACTGCATGCTTCCCGGGAAGCTGAGAATGTTTCTGAGTGTTGTATGGTCTGCTGGGGTAATAATACAGTATAAAGCTCATAGAGCTTGCTTCCGAGTGGTGACATGCGCTATACAAATGCTATCTATTATTATTATTATTATTTTGATCTAAATTGTGTTGATGGGAGCAGAAAAACACCTGCAGTAAAACTGTTCTCCTTTTAACTGAATGGGCATGTATTCATTCACATAATCTGGCTCTGTTAGCTGACTTTTTAATGAAAAACTTTAGAATGTTTGAGTTTTTATTTTGTTTGTATGTATTGGTTTTCGGCATGTTTAGACAATCAAGTCAGGGCAAGGTTAATGAGTACATTCTTGTCCTTTTTTTTTTTTTCATCCGAAAGCAAAGTATCTGTAATAAATCTTGGATATGTCTGGGGGGTTTTTGTCTTCCAGCATGGGTGGTTGGTTGGTGCTTTGGTGTGGTTCGGTCCTTCTTTCCTATCATCAAACATTAATTGTCCTTATCTCCCCTCCTTCTTTTTTGTGTTTTGTGTTCGTTATTCTCTTGAAACACCTCTAATCTTTGGCACTTGTATGGCCTAATAGTGTTGCAAGTGCTGTAAAAGTCTTACTAGAACAAATTCTTATTTTTTTTTACCTGAAGCTATTTATTTATAATAAATCTTGGGTGTGTCTGGGTTTTTTTTTGTCTTCCAGCGATTGATTTTGATGAATTCCTGGGCATGTACAAGCGCCTGTTCCTACTGTGCCGAACTGTGGTGTCTGGGGATGTGGCAGACATTGTTTCCCCCTCGCATAAACCTGGCACAGTGAGTTGTGGAATTTTAATAATGATATCATTAATAATGATGATTTAAATTAAAAATTAGTAATAATAATACTACTGCTAATAATAAAAATAGTAGTAATGATAATATTAATAGTAAAGATAATAATCATAATAATATGTTAATAATAATTATAATATTAATGATAATAATAATAAGATAAAACATTTATATAGCGCTCAACCGAAACAGTACATTTGTGTTCTGACTACAAATCTAGATAAATCTCTTTAATCTAAACAGAGAAATGACCTTCACTGGCTTTCGAAGTAATTTTTATATGTGTACCTCATGTGTCGGTCATCACTAGTAACAGTGTTTACATTATTACAGTCGTTGGATTGATGAATTGTTTCACTTATTTTCAGAAAGAAATCCGAAAGTATTTTAAGAAATAATGGACATCTGAAAAATATTGCTGTAAAAAAGTCTAAATGATAGGTTATTTTTTTCTGCTGTCCTTCCCAATCATTACTTTTCAAGATTTTAAGATTATTTTTTTCACAAGAGTCTCTTGTGCTGTTTATATTGCAATTTTGAAGCTTGTGTTTCTAATTGAGGTTTCATATAACAAGAGACCATGTGTCACTGTCGTCAGAAGTCTCAGCAACAGCTGCCATCTCAGAGCAGCCAAGTCCAAGGCAAGGTCAACCCCCCAGCCTCTTCCAACAGCGACGCGAACAATGCAGCAAGGAAAGCGGATGAGAATCTCGGTGCTGATCGACTGGGGAGCGACATTGAGGAAGATCCGTTCTTTGATGACATCCCCACCTCATCTGTACAGTTTAGCACCCTCTCCAAGTAAGTTGTGTTTCATTTGTGTTTTGAGTGATATTTGGAACTCATTTTTCTGTGCTTACTTTTGCTGATCTTTTGTAGCAAGAAGTGCTTTTGGACAGTATTTCTTTAGTTTTAGTAACATTTTTATGGCACTTGCCACACAAATCAGTCTTGTAAGTGCCGAAGAATAGAATTGCTACTAGACAGTAACATACAAAAAAAAACCAACAGAGGAAGATAAGGAAGAAAGATTTTTAAAAGGAAAGAAGGAGCAAACTACACCAGAGCACCCATCAACCCTCATTAAGACAGTTTAGATGTCGGCAAGTGTCATGGTGGGTGGACATGAGAAGTGTTGTGCCAGGAGTTTTGGGGATCTCTGCCATGACGTCTCCCCACCATTGCCATCGTCACCCTCCAGGTGTTACTTCTGTGATAAGAACAGTTTTGCGATTTGTACAGAATGTCTTTAAATGATTAAAAAAAAAAAAAATTTCATGAAAGTTATTTGTTTCTTCATGGAGTTATAGCTCGCATTTTTTTTCTCTGTGTTCCAGAGATATGACTTGAGCTTTGTGTACCTTTTGTACTTTTGGTTGCTGTAGTATTTGATCCTTATTTTGGCCAGACTTTTTATTTCGAGAATGAGATATGCTTGCGAAAATTCTTTTTTTTTACAAGTTTATCTAAAACCCAGAAACTTACGGGAAAAAAATCTACTTTTTTTTCCCAGTACGTCCTAAATGTTTCCATAAATATCCCCATGTAACCTTTGTCGACCATGCTTCTATATGTGTGTGTGTGTGTCTGTGTTGTCAGAACTCCTGTGGGCTTGTTCCAGACTTACCAAGTACACCTGCCCTCAAAAGTCTTATTCTTCAGAGTTCTTACCTACCTTTCTAAAGGCCTCATCTGTTTTGCAGAAACCCCAGTTGATTTTTTCTTGTTATTGTCAGAATACATAAGACAAACTGTAAAGGGTGTGGAAATACGTTCTGGGGTGATTTGTTTTCTAAATGATTTAAATCAGGGGTCTTAAGCTCGCAGCAGAGCGATATTTTACGGCCCTACTTGACATCAAAGTTTTAGTGTGGCCCTCCCTGGTCAATACTGGAAACATTTTTTGGTGTGGAATGCCTGATGTGATCTCAATTTACCCAGACTCTACCCCCAGTGGCCCCATGGGTAACTTGAGCTTGAGACCGCTGATCTAAATTGATGGGCAAGTAAAATGTTAAGTCAATTTCACTGTTATATGCTGTGCAATTTTTGATAATTTTCAGTACTCAGTTAACTTTTTGTGGATAGATTTTTAAATTTATAAATGTTATTTTATCATAGGCTTATCCGTTGTGAACATTTGATACATTACGTGACCTCAATCTGCTAGATACCGGGACTTATTACGCAGCTGGGGTCAAGGCGACTCATATCTTTTTCACTGTCACTCCACTTTAAAGAAAAAAGAGAATAATCTAATTTCTCCTATTAGTAGTCGTCTAGAGGTTGTTGATGCAAGGGGAATCAGGTGCTTTCTTTGTCACAACAGGATAGTAACCCAGATTGTACGAATGACCAGAAAATACGTGCTGTCTGTTTTCTAATATTGCTCCTCATAGACTCACCTATGTCGAAGAAAAATTATTAACTTTCAAGATTCGATTTGCAAATGATCATGAAAACGAAGCCCATTAGTTAACTGGAGATATCTTTTGCAGCATGTCTTCTTTGAAGCGTAAATTTATTGAATGCAGAGAGGTGTGTGTAAAGGGGTTTTGGGGTTGTAGTTTTTTTTTGGTGGGGGGGGGGGGGGGGGGGCATCTTGACCTGCTGCATGCATGGATAGGGTTTGCTATTTTTAAATTAAAAAGTTGGCAACAATGAGATTGTATCTCACTGCTTTACTGCTTTGTATGTCTCTCCCCCCCCCCCTTTCCTTCTTCATATTTTTATTATATATATATATTGTTAAAGTATATACTACTATTCTACAACACTTTTTGTGGTTACCTGATCCTGTGCTTTCAGTAATACGTCCCCCTTACCCATCAGTGAAACTGTTTATGACTGTATTTATAGATCCTTTTTGTAAATCCCCTCACCCGTCCATGAAATTATTTATGGCTGTATGTCTCACTTATTTTCAGTTATATCACAGCTCCGTCAAGACGATCATTCTTAAGGTTGACCTTTTTTCACGGATTGGATATATTTTTTTGTAACTAGCATGTTCTGTGCATTATGATAGAATTAAGAAACAAAATGTTGCAAATTTTAACTTTCTACTTCTATTAATTGCTTGAAACTTCTAAGAACAAAAATAGCGCACAGTCTCAAGATAAGTCCATCTGGTTCTCTGCTTGTCATTATCCACTTCTGCTGTCGCATGTAAAACATGTATAGCTCACTTGAGTTGTCTCATGGAATATTGTGCACCAGAGAAAAGGTTTTTTTCATTTTTTCAAAAAACAGCTTGTTGTAACAAATATATGTGTTTGCACAACAAGATTATTTTCCTGGGAACTGTTTTTGTTCCTCACAGCAATGACTGTTTTAAAGAACCGTAAATTTTTACTCTCTTTACATCAAAGTCTCAAAATTCAAGTGCCTGCATTTTCTTATCCAACTTCAGAAGAAAGTTTCAACATGTGTGTAGAAATAGTATGTAAATGATATGATAACTGAGTGCATATACTCAAGTAACAAGGTTGTGTACTGTTCATCCACTACTGCAGATTGGTCCTTTTTTATTTAATGTTCCTTTTCATGAAGTTCTTTGGTTCACAACTGTTTATCATATTGAAACATTATCTTTTTCTGTCAGTTAACTGTTCAGACTCTCTAAAACTTACATTTGTCTTCACAAAAATGAAAATGCTCCCAGGTCTCAGATACCCGAATTTCTGATCTTGATTATGTAGGCAAAAATTTTAGAAGCGTTTTTCACTAATACTTTATAGGTATGTAATTCCAACTGATAAGTCATTGGAATTCGTAGTTTATTAATCAATGAGAATTATCCATGGGGACAGGACAACAAAAGATCTTATCTGTGGTTTCAGGAGACGTGTTATTTCTAGATTTGAAAATCCCCCAAAAACGTACTTGACGTTGTTATTTTTCTTCTCTAAAAATCCAAGTATCGCACAAGCCCCCATATTTTTGTTTTGGCTTTTGCTACAGTTCCCAGTTTCTGTTGCTTTCTATGTCATGTTTTCTGTGCTTTATGAGTTAATTTGCCTGTTACCCTTCCCCCCCCCTAGTGTCCCTTCCAACAGCGTGAGTAAAGCCACCAAGAAAGCTAGTCCTTATCGCCCATCTCAAATTCCGCGTTTCCACCGGAGGTAACACATTGCCAGTAGTGCTGACACTTTTGTGATGCACCAGTCCCGTTCCCAACTTTCCCCTCTGAACTTTTCCCAGTTTTTCTCTCTTCCCATACGCACCAAGAAGTGATCAGTTTTCTGTGTTGCTGTAGACTGCGATTAATGCCTGACGGAAATTAACCACACTAGATTGTACCAGTTTTCTATGTTGTAAGTGTATCTAGAAATGGATAGAACTGGGAAATTTTTACCTCTCGTTATAAAAGAATGTTGTCTTGTCAGAGAACAATTGTACCGGGAACATTCAGCTTTTGTTTTTATAATCTTTTGTCAACCATTGTATTCTTATGTATTTTGTATACGAGTTAAGTGTACTCTATAGGCAGTTGTTTTTAGAATAGTTTGGTACTGAGTGTTCTTCTTAATCAGGCTGTAGAAAATGAGTATATGGGTTGTAGAAGATGAGCTAAGCAATCCCATCAAAGTTCAGAATCTCACAAATATCAAATGATAGATTGTAAGGCTTTTGATAATAGAGTAGAAGCAAATAGGTTTGGGTTCATGAAGATTGTACATCAGATATGACCAATTCTTGTCGACTTGTATATGACCGTTGACTTTGATATGAAATATACAGTTGAAACTGTCCTAGACTGCCATCCATTGTGGAGACGAAAATTGGTTGTCTTAGACAGGTAGATGTCTTTGACAATGTGATGATATAAAAAAACAGGCATGGTGGAGATGGAAGTGGTTATCTTGTACAGGTGGGCTTTAAAGTTGGTTCGACTGTACATCAAAACTGTGAGGGAAAGGGGGAATGTCCTAAATGACCTGAGACCCAGGGCACAGCTCACAGTCCTTTTCCTCTCCTAACGAGTAAACCTCTAATCATGTGAAACTTGAGGTGTGTTCTCACTTCTCAATTTGGTTTGATGGTTTGATCGATGAAGATTCTGAGTGCTTTTGTCTGTCACATTATTTTGTCAAATTCCGAAACAAAACCAGGAAAAAATTATCTCCTGTTTTTTACCCCCCACATGTTCTCTCTTTTCATGCTACCTAACTCCTCTGAAAACCCATTCATGCAGTGTCTAAGAGACTTGCTGTGAATGACATCTAATTTGGCTAGCACTTAGAAGTTTGTTGAGTGCCTCTATATCTGCAACAACGATTGCCTTAAAGATGTGTTTTAGCCAGTTGAGATTGAATTGATCAGTGACTGACCCGTTAAGTGCCGTGCGAAGAGCTCTCTGTAGCAGTCCATTAATTGGAAGATATGCTGGCTCTTGTTTCAGAACTTCGTACAAGGCAGATTTTTTCAGTTCATGATAACTTTTTTTGTTAAGATACTAAGTTACCTTTATTGAACCCATCTCTAAAACCTCAAGAGAACGAAAAAAGTTTTGAAAAAAATATGACAAAATTCTTGACTCTTGCAAATCTGTGGTGAATAAATGTTCTTGAATTAGTGTATTTCACCATCAATATTAATGTTGAACATTTGCAGATGAAATGCTTTGTGATTTTGTAACAACAGCACTAATTGCTTTGAGAGTGTATTTTGAGAAATGAGATTGATTTTAGGAGTGGCTCACATAGAATTTTGCCAAATTGATCTTATAGAAGAAATTGCCCCCGGCAGCTGTGCCATTTGACTTGTTTATAATTGAAGCTCTCATGCTCAAACTATTCCTGGTCTTTGAAAGAAAAAAAGAGTAAAACAAAACTGACTTTTGGTTGGTTTTAATCATTCTCCGAAATATATTTATCAGATGATCTTGAAAAAGAAAAAAGAAAAGAAAGGCAGAAAGGCTGGCCTTTTTTGTCTTCATTTGTGGCAATTTGTAAATGAATGCTAATATGACTTGGAGCTAAATTGCTTTGAAAATGCCTGAGGAAATTGATCTGTTGAATAGCTTGCATGCTAGATGCCAGTTGAGAGCTTTTTATTGAGTGTTCAATATAAGATAAAATTTGTTCTTTTTTAAAGAATTGTTTTCAAGAAAATCGACAGAGAATGTCAATCATACTCTGAAAGGACAACAGTTATTTTTTTAACGACCGCCACGGTTTCAGAAGGAAAAATTAACTTGAAGATGGAGTTTCAAACTCTCTTTATGACGAAAAATACTGATCTAATGTGTTCTTAGAGGGGGTGATTTCAATCAAATAACTTTGTAATTCATTAGGAGCCCAGAAAATTCAATTTTTGAACTCCCGTTTCCTTTTTGTTTGCATATTACATGTGTGAGATTTGGTTGTAGTAGAACTATGTATAATTTTGTGACTATGACGAAGCATGTTCCCAACTAATTGAAACTTGGACCGCATGTTTGTGTGCGAGTGGACTTTGCAAATGCTGTTCGCTGCTCATGTGCACTCATTTAATGATGAAGAAAGTGTGTGTGTGTTTGTTAGGGGGGGGGGGTGTGTGTGTGCCTGTGTGTGTGTGTGTGTGTGTGTGTGTGTGTGTGTGTGTGTGTGTGGGGGTTGGAGTTGGGTAGAGGTAGCGTGCCATATTTTTACAAATGTTTTTAGATTTGTATTTTGATAGGTATTCATTTCTTTTTTTAACAAAAAAAATATGTAAAAATGAAATTTTAGATAACTGAAATTGAAGTAATCAAGAGTTTTTAGATGAAGAAGTATGTCAATAAATTCAAACAGAACTGTCTTACTGCATCTAAAAAGTTTTCGTTGTGGACTTAAAAGCGGTAGCAGCTGAAAGTTAAAAAAAAACTAATGATCCTTAAAAGGTCTCATTTGGGTGACTCATACACGTTTTAGGTGATAGAATCTCAATTTTTCGTTACCCAAGGACCAGCTTTGAGTGTAATAACTTTTTTCAGGTCTCCACCTCCCAGTGTGAATATAAAATTGTGAATAAGTGTAATACGTAGATTTGGGTGCCAAATAAATTATGCCATAAGTCATTTCTTTTCCCGTGAACCAGCGGCTATTTGAGTTCAAAGCCCTTTGGCCTATATCATGCTATAAAGTTCAGGTGTTGAGAAACTCTTGTGTCAATCTAAGGTCACTGGATTTTGTGAATCGTGCTCATTTAGTGAGATGATGAGGGAGGCTTTGTTGTTTTGTCCGTTTTTGTATTCTGTTGCACTCATGACGGGTATGATTTCTGGGATTTGTCCAATTTTATTGTACTCAACTGGCAGCACAAATTCTGTTTGATTTTTCCTTTGTTTCTCGTCAGATTTTGTTTTATATTATTTTCACGCATAATTTTATTGGTGTTTGTGTAAAGTATAAGTTACACACTGTGCAGTTAGACAATTTTTTTGTGTCATAGTGGTGGCGTATTGTTAGATAAACAGAGGGTGTTGGTTTTTTTTTTATGGTGAAGATTCTCCACTTCTCTTAATTTTGGTTTAAATAGTTTGTCTTTGTTGGGTTTAAAAAATTTTTTTTGGATTTCCATGATTTGTTTATTTTTAAATTTGTGTTGATGAGATGCCACTCATTGTTATTATTTCCCATTTCCTTTAGTATTCAAGATTTTGTCTTTGTTGTTATGACAAAAAAACAATGATTTCTCACATTTCTAATGTCAAAATCCTTTTTTTAAAAATAGAGCAGATGAGGAGTATTTTTATAGAGCTTGCTTTTGTTCTATGTTTCCAGCAAACAATATTTTAGAAATGTCTGAAGCCACTATTACCTAGTTTAAAAAAAAGAAAGACTTTTAAACAAAAAGATGTATGTTCCTCAGAGGCATGTTTCATCTAAATAAGCAAATGAAAAATTCAGCACTTGTGCCTTCTTGGGCTCGTGTCACCTTCTATTAGTGCACAGATCACATTGTATACATCAAGGCACCATCTGTACTGGCCTCTCTCTATATTAAAAAAAAAGACGCCACCTGTTCTTCAACTCAACACTCATCACCAAACACTCTGTCCATCTCTGTTGCACTGTCATTACATATTGCTCCTCAAAATCACTCTGTGTAGCAACTGTTTACATCCATAGACCACTAAGAAAGATATCAGCATGCTGGAGCTGATTGTTTTGGCAGCATGTTCTTTGTCTAGTTACTTTGAATTAGCATGTACAGTTCCGTGTCTTGTGTCATGTCTATCTTGACTGTCCATCTGTATTGGGATGAGTTATATATTCAAATTCATAAGTGGGTACGTGTAGTTGGAAGCTGCCATTGGTAGGTCGTTATTCTCTATTGTGTGGGTGGTTGGCGGGTGCTCTGGTGTGGTTTGCTTCTTCTTTCCTATCAAACATCTATCGGCCTTATCTCCCCTTCTTCTTTTTTATGTTTGTTACTCTCTTGTAACACCTCTAATCTTCTGGCGCTCGTATAAACTTATGCAGTTGCAAGTGCCGTAAAACCTCTACTAAAACTAAAACTAATTCTTTATTGTCCCTACGTTGTATCTGTCTGTCTGTTTTGCTCTTTCCCAGCTCTAAGTCGCTGTTGTCTTGCCGATATGCTGCCCTTTACTTTACTCAAGCCAAAACCAAACTTTAAAGAATTTGTTGTGACAAGTACCCTTCTTTCAGATACATCCAAGACACCAGTGTCTATGATTTTGAAATTAATGTTATTTGCATGTGTCAACTTCTACGCTGAAGCTTTATTTTGGTTTTTCCAAAAGACAGCTTACAGAGGAAAGAGAGATTTTTAACATGAATTCTTTTTGAAAATACAACACAGGCACACGCTCACACACACACACACACACACACACACACACACACACACACACACACACACACACACACACACACACAAACCCCCTCACACACACACACACACACACAAACCCCCTCACACACAGTCTGTTTGTATGGTGTGGCTTAAGACCCATGTGCATTTTGGGTCACATTGTAGGCATGGTGAATGAGAATGTGTGGGAGTCTAGGATGAAAGAGAGAGAGAGAGAGAGATGCATGATTTTTCCTTGAAATTTAAAATTTTTGTCATGCCAACTGGTTACATATAGTTATTGAACTTCGTTTCGAACTGCTGTTAAAAACGTTTCCTTTTCCTTCTGTTCTCCCTTTTTTGCGCATAATTTCAAACTTTGGATGAGCTCCATCTTTAAATGACTTCCCCTAATTTTTTTTCCTCAAGTGAATTAGAAAAGAACAAGGAAATGCAGGCAGAACCCAAAGAGAACGGAGATAGCAAGCAAGCCAAAGACAAACCAGCTGGAAGTGGAATGAGTTCTCTGGATGGCCTCCCCTCCCTCAGTCCCGGTCGTGGCTCGGGAATGGGTTCGTTAGCCGGTGCCCCTCCGCTGGGTCGACCGAAATCTCCGGTTGATGGTAAGGAATGTAATAAGAAAATTTCTAAGACTTTTTATGAATGAATTGCTCATGCTGCTCTTAGTGCTGCCATCATTTTTAAAAGAGACAGTATATAGTATATATATATATATGCAGTTTTTACAATTTTACAGAGAGCCAAGAACTTTTATGTTTTAGTGTTTTATTGCACTTGCAACACAATAAGGTCATATAAGTGCCGAAGATTAGAGGTGTTACAAGAGAGTAGCAAACATAAAAAAAGAACGAGGAGAGATAAGGATGATAGATGTTTGATAGAAAAGAAGGAGCAAACCACACCAGAGCACCCGCCAACCACCCACAGCCAAGAACTGAATGCTTTTACTGAAAAAAGGTCTGATTTAAAGATAATAAGGAAGTTATCATCAAAATTGCGTCTTTAAAAGAAAACTGGTGACTTGAGATGTTTTCAAAGAGTTTGTTTTCTTGGTGACAACATTCCGTTTTTTGGCTTTAAAATTTTAAAAAACCTGCATACACTGTACTTTTAAAAATGATGGCACAGGGGGTGGTTAGCAGTTGCTCTAGTGCGGTTTGCTACTTCTTTTCTGTCATCAAACATCCATCGTCCATCCTCATCTCTCCTCCTTTTCTTTGAATGTTGTTCTACGGTAGAACCTCTAATTTTCGGCAGTTGTGTGTGACCTATTTCTGTTACAAGTGCCGTAAAACTCTTACTTTAACTAAACATACTACACTTACAGGCATGCACATACTCACAAATGCATGCGCATGGAGAGAGAGAGAGGTTTGTAAATATATTTTGTGCTGTTAAGTTGTTGTTTTTATTTTATGGGCGGGGGGGTGGGGGTGGGGGGGGGAGTGTCATTAAACTTTGAGTTTTTTTCTAGAAGGACAACACAGTAACTTATACCTTGTTGTGATCTATCTTTATTAAGTTAAAAGAAAACCCATTATATACCCTTTGAATTATTTTTGTCCTATTTGATGATAATAATAATAATAATAGTGATAATAATTAATAATGATAATAATAAATATCACTTATTGTAATATAGTGCCCACTCCATGGTGACTTGAGATGCTTCACAGTAAAATAAGATTTAAAGTCAGTATTTCATGTATAGTGGCCCATTCAACGTACAACAATTCTTTATTATACATAATAATATACACTCACAATCTGATGAATATCTCATACCCAAAAAGACAAATACTGTGGCTTCTGATCAATCACACTTGCTGTTGGAAGAAGATTAAAACTAGTAGTAAAATTAGATTTAAATAAATGGGTCTTCAGGCCAGATTTAAATGCGGTCAAAGTAGGCGCCTCTTTTAAATGCAGTGGGAATGATGGAATTCCACATCTAGGGAACAGCTTTTGAAAAGACTTTTTGGATCTTTAAGATGGAGGTGCATAGACAATTTGTTGTCAAATATAACTCCTACATTTTGGGCCTTTGCTTGAAAAAAAACAACAAAAAACACTTTCCCATTTCCAACAACAAGGTGATCAGTACCATCAAATTGTGTCACCAAAGCATTTTGGGTTATATCAAATCATTTCGGTCTCCTTGTTGTTGTGTAACTTCAGTCTCTTGGATGTCATCCAAGTCTTTACTATGTCTTCACATTTTGTCATGCTTTGAGTTTTTAAATGCATGTTGCTTGACTCTGAAGACATGTACAGCTGTCCCCGTCATTTATGCAAGAAAAAAAAATTGAAATTATGCAAACTGAGCCCAAAAATGTGAAATTTTGCGATTCTGTTAATTTTAAGAAAGAATGATAAAGGAAAATAATCAGAAATTATGCTAATATGCTAAAAATGATCAAATTTGGCAAAATTATGCGGGGTGCATAAAACCACGGGGACAGGTACAGCTGGGTGTTGTCTGCCTGTGAGAGGAACTGTTGTGACTTCTTATGATGGTACTAAGTGGTGTAGTGTACAAAGTGTTTTACAGTGGTCCCAACACAGAGCCTTGTGGTACCGCGTAATTTAAGCTGTATATAGCTCACTTTTTTTTTTGCATTCTCAAGAACAGATTGTGAACTCCCAGATAGGTATGGCTTGATTGAACCACTCAAGAACATTACCAGATATTCCAAAATTTCTTTTCTAATCTTTTTAATAACATGGATTGATCAGTAGTGTCAAATGCTGCAATGCTCAAGTCTAACACTGTGAGTATTGATGTTTCAGATCCTAATGATTCGGATGTAGATAAAAATTTGAGAGAAATTGACAAGCGCATGAAAGACTTTGGTCTAGGTATGTTTTGTGTTTTTCGTGTCTTTTACTTTCACTTTTACCCTTGCAGCTTCAATTCTCTATGTGTGCAAGAAATGTTGTTCATTATTGTTTTGTTTGAGTTTTTCCTGCTTCAAAACCCCTCAGTGGGTGGTTGGTGGGGGCTCTGGTGTGGTTTGCTCCTTCTTTTTTATTATCAGACATCTATCGATGGGTGGTTGGCGGGTGCTCTGGTGTGGTTTGCTTCTTCTTTCCTATCAAACATCTATCGTCCTTTTCTCCTCTTGTTCTTTTTTTATGTTTTTTTACTCTCTTGTGGACACCTCTAGTCTTCTGACACTCATATGACCTTCTGCAGTTGTGAGCACCGTAAAACCTCTACTAAAACTAAACTAAAGACCTCTATCGTCCTTATCTCTCATCCATTTCTTTGCATGTTACTCAATTGTAACACCTCTAATCTTCAGTACTAATATGACCTATTTGTATTACAAGTGCAATTAAACTCTTACTAAAACGAAACTAAACAGTTTATGTTGACGTAGTTTGTGATGATGTAATAATAATGTTTAGGTTCAATGTTCAAGTGTTACCACTGTTTGATGAAAAGGAATGAACAGAATGATAATAGTATGTGTATGCGGTTGGAGGGAACCATTGGACATCATTGGTGGGTCTTTGCTTGCCTGCTGTTGTTTGTCTCTCTCTGTGATGTTTTAACCAGTACTAAATGGTCATCCATGATATTGATGTGCTTCACATTGACTCCCACTGCGTCAAAGTAGGCCAACTTTTTATCTTTATATATGTACTTCTCTTTAACTCCCACTGCGTCAAAGTAGGCCAACTTTTTATCTTTATATATGTACGGCTTCATGGTGAAACTAGTGCTCATTAAGGTAATAGAATTTAAAAATCAACGTTTTCCCCTCCGTTGAGGAATTTTTATCGAATTGGGGTTTTTTGGAGGGCTCTATTTTGTGTCCATTAAATACACTTTTATGTGTGAATTTTACTGAAAAATACTGATTGGGGGGGGGGGGGGGGAGGAGTTAGTCTGCAGTTTCCGAATACACTACAGCTTTGGAAGTCACCTAAATTTGGAGGCCATTTTCTCACTAATTTTACCTCTGACATCAAGTGACTCCAACCGGTTTCAAATGCAAATATTATATTTTTCTCACCAAAAGCAAGGCAAAGAAACAAGCTTTAAGATTATCACAACAACTCCATATATGCCCAAAAATTGCTGAGGGCCTGATTCCACAGTGTCATGACACTTGACTTATATTTGCAATGTTTGTGGGTGGTAAATGGGTGCTTTGGTGTGGTTTGCTCCTTGTTTCCTTTCAAACATTGTCTTTATCTCTCCTTCTTTTCTTTGTACCACACACTACTCTCTAGTAACAGCTCTAGCCTTTGGCACTTACATGACCTATTTGTGTTGCATGTGCCATAAAACTCTGACTAAAAATAAACTTAAAGTATATTGTTTGGGACAGTTCTGTATGCCAGGATGTTGCAGATTTCATTGAAATAATTTTTGTGGTTTCCTGCTCTTCTGATGGAAATGTCATTTTCCCCAGATTCTCAAAATGATGACTTCGAGTATGAAGACGATTTCAGTCCAGAGTAAGTAGACAAAAATATTCCTAATAGTCTTTGATTTTACATTTTGAAACTGTTCAGAATTTCGAGTCAGTTTTTAATAATAATTGCATTTATATAGCGCATATCCATGCTCAAGAGCATGCTCTATGCGCTTTACAACTATTATGAGTCAGTTTTTGGTGCTTTACAGCCGAGATATCAATATAATAATAATTTGTAGTAACAGTTTAATCAATACTTCCAGTGACCGAATGAATGAATTATATATTATATCATAACATGTTATTTGAAAGTTAAATAAGTGGGTGAAGTGAGTCACTGGTGGTAGGTCCTGCTTTTCAGATGTTCATTTGCTGCTTCTTGTCAACAGGGAAGAATTGATATGTGGTGCTTATATATATCTGAAACATACAAGTGCGTTTTATATACATTTTTTTAAAATGGTAAGTGTTTTCTGGCGCTCGCAACTGCTTACGGTCATATGAGCGTGCGGGACACACCAAACATTTTCAATTGGTAGGAAATTTTGAATTTTGCCCGGGTGGCGGCCGAAGCCTACTCTGATCAATTTTGGACAACCAAGGGATCTTTAACTGCGCAACTTGCACTCGCGCCCTCTGAGATTTTTCGCCCTTGTCCAAGAAGGCTAAATGTAGATGTTTCCTACCAGAAGATCAGGGGTGTGGCTGAAAGATAACAGTGAGAAGGAGCCAAGGAGTAGCAGTAGAAAGGCTGCAGAAAGAGTCAGGAGCCCAGAAGAGGGGGCAAAGGAGGTGAGGTGTGGGAGAAGAAAGTGGAGACGAAAGCAAACGACAGAATATTGTAGGAGAGAAGGAAAGAAGGTGGAAGGAGACAATTTTATAGAAGAAAACTTTTTCGCTGCTACCCGGATTGGAACCCCGAACCTTTGAATGAGAGGTGAACACCTAGGCCACGAAAGCCCCCGCTTTCTTTCTTTTTGGACATGTTTATCAACAAACCCCTCTCTGAAATAGGTAGTTCCATGTAGGGGAAAATAAAAAAGATAATCAGTTAAAGGACTACAGTAATGAAACACGCGCTTCGCTAACAGATTTTCGGGTTCCTTATTTTTTCTTATACGTGCAATATTCTTCGTATTTAAAACGCCTACACAGTGAAATTTGCACACAACAAAAAGATATCAGCGTCCCGCCAGTTTTGTTACTGGGTGCTTGACTGTATTTTCCATCTTTTTTTTTGGGGGGGGGGGGGGTCTCAATCCACCAAAGAAGACAAGTTCTCTCTTCTAATCGCAGGCACAGCTTGAGCCAGAAAACTCCAGGGAACTCCAAGTCTGCCGCCAAACCAGAGAACGGCAGCGTAGCAGAGGAGATTGACGATGAGGAGATTGATGAGGACATCTCAATAGAGGCTGATGATTTACTCAACAGCGAAAAGAGCGGGGTAAGTACTCAAGTCTGGCTGTTGGTAGAACTTTTGTTAGGTATTTGTTGGAAGTACAAAGAAATAATTGACCAATAAAACAATATGACAATAAGAATAGAGTTGAAGTGTAGCAAGAAAAGTTCAAAATGTACAGTCAAATCTGATAACACCACACCCCCCTGTTATACTGCCAACTTCATGCTCGTCCCAAGGTTGACAGTATAACAGACTGTACAATGTTCTTTCACTTTCAGCCCATACTCTCTATACCTCGGTCTTTTTTATCCCTTTGCCTTCACCTGCACATTCATTTATGGAGTGAGTGTTCAGTGGAAAATAAATTTGCACATACCAGACCACTCACTGCTGATCAAGATGATTTCTTCTCTGCTTTTGTGATCAGGTTTTGGGTTGGAGGAGCAATGAGAATACTTTAGTCTACAGCAAAAGTTGTTTTCATCGTTGGTTTGTTTTTGTTCTTGTCCTTGGGGGGGGGGGGGATTTTTTAAATGCAAGTGTTTTTACACTCCCATCGGCCCAATTTAGATCATTGAGGAGGGGGAGGCTTTTACCCTTCTTGTCAGACCCAACCCAGGCTGAAAGAGATGCAACATCCCAATAGAAAGACCAATATACTCAACAAATAAATTTCCCCACTCTGGAATACCTAACCAGTACTAAACTTTACTTTTGTTATGATGTCAAAGTAGAATAACTGTTTTCGTATTTTCTCCTCTCATCTTTTCAGTTTGATGACCTGACCACAGACCGCAGTATTTCTCAAGCTGACGGAGGATTCGACTACATGGAAGACCCCACCTTTTGAAGGAATGATCAAGTGGAAAGACAACTGATCAACTGCTGAATGTAGTTCTTTATCCATGGTTGAACTGCTTTGTGTTGATAGAAAGGGGTGTTGGGG